CCTGAGAGTGCTCATCCGTTTGTTTGGGACAAAATCCCCTCTGTATGGGTACCTGCACAAATAAACATCTCTACATATTCCAAATGCCAACACAACCAAGGGATGGTCAGTTCCCGATTTAACTGGAATCCCTGGATCTGACCATCACAGATACATCATCATACATATATATGCCCTGTTCCTGCAATGTGCTGAGATCATACGTGCAGGGTTAACGTATTGTGTGTCATAAGAATTGATTGTACCAGGTAACCGAGTTTCGGTTGGTGCTGGTTGTACAGTAGCGTGAGGCCCAGCCTTGTGAGGGCTGTGTTGACCAACTCGAGATTACCAGTCAGTCGTAAATTTTTTGGCTCATGAGTTTATGAGTGAGGCTAGCATGGCCTGGGTGTCACCTGAGTTGGTGTTGCTGGGCCTTCCCCTGCCTCCATGTTGTCCGTTGATGTATGGAGGAGTTTGAATGACTCTGCTTTCCTTGCTGTGGCAGGGTAGGGGATTTGTCGCCTCCTTAGGTCGGTGGTAATGTGTGGGATCATCCAGGATCTGATTGCTGCTGGACTAGCAACATCTCCTCTGCTTGAAGGTGTATCACTTCTAGCCAGGGTGCTAGGAAGAGGTGATTCCTCACCATCTTTTTGAGAAATACTTAAATAACAATAAAGATTGCAATTATTATTTGTACCCAGGAGTCTTGTACTGGCTTGCTAGCTAAGCCTTAAGGCGAAACGATTAGGCTTGGTGTTTTTTGGTGACTGGGGAGGCCCTGCTAGTTGCCAAGTGGCCTGAGAGGCTCTATCTATGCTTGGCGCGAGGGGATTTTGTGCGGCTACCTAACGTTGTGGCAGGATGTTGGCCTCTCGGTGACAGTAACCAGAAAATAGGAAGGGGAGTGACAGGTGAGGCCCTCTCTATGATACAATGCGAGGCGGCTAGCTCACGAGTGGCCCGAGGGGTGTATACCTCTGAGTGTGAGGCGGGGTGTTGACCTCGCGGGACCACTAACCGAAGCATAATGCAGAGAAAAAAGGGGATAATACCTATTGGGCCCTAGGACCCTAATTGCCAGTACGCTATTACTATTCCAGGGAAGGTAAGAGATGAATAACTACGTGAGCAGCTGTATGTACCTGGTAGTATGGTATTGAACCTGACAATCCGTATAGGTTTTTTAGTAGTAACTGTAACCTGAATGGATAAAACCGTATGGCATAAGGAAATATGGCATAGACCAAGCTTATCTTAATACGTACAGTATATGTGAAAAGTAAAGTGACGTGATGTGTAAATATTAAACATCGTAGCCATACTGGTTAAATATGTATCAACTTTAACACATTAAGTGTCGTATGTACAAGTGAAAAAGTGGTCTGTCCCCACCTTGTATGTTGTATGTCCCCTTGCTAGGGGAAAGTCTGTTGTGTGACCAGCGTGCGGTGAAAAATGTATGTGAACCATATTACCAGTTACGTATATACAGACGCATCTGCTACTGTGTAATAATATATGTATTTATACCTGATATTGATATACTGCTTGCTATGTGAATTGTTGTATGCCTTATTGAATGGCAAGTGAACATGGAGTTGCAAAATGCAAGTGCACTGGAGATCTGCCGAGTGCCCTATAGGTGGCAGTGTAGTTGGATACTGATTGGTCTGTGAAATGTTGTTTGTCTGTTGACCTATAGGGGTCAGTGTTTTGGTGTTTGTAAAACCCCATGAAAATTGTCAATGTACTTGACAGACCTGTAGGTGGCAGTGTTGATAGAACCACTGTTAGTCTTAATGTGAAATGTAAATTATTGTGAATTAAACCTGAAGTTGAGCCTGTGCTGGAGTTTAATTTATGGTTATGTTTAAAACAATCTTATGTGTAATTTACATTGGCTGGTAAATTGTATATGACGTGTGAAGACAGTTTTGCTGTTGACCAGTAGGGGTCAGAAATGCTGATTGTATGGTAAAATACCCTTTAATCCAAATGCAAGGTTAACGTGAGATTTTGAGAGTGACCTGTAGGGGTCAGTGTGGTTTACATGAAACATTGTTCGTGAGCTATGCCCCAGCATTATAGTTGTATGACAGGGAAACGAACAGTGCCCGTTTGACAATATACAATATGTGAATAAAATAGCTTAATAACAATCATTGTAACAAACCAAAGTTCTGTTCACGGGTTGTAAACGCACGAAACGTGTGTGTAGTACAATAGTAAATGCATGAACTAGTTCCCGTTTGGTAGAAAATTGCACGAACCGTGAGCCTGGTATGTCAGGGAAACAAAACAAAACGAGCAGTGAGATTCGAAATGCACGCACAGAATTGCCTAGTATGTTTAGCCAATTGAAACAGAATGTGATCCCGTTCGGGAGTATGCTAATGCTCGAAATGAGCCAGTGACAGATATAAACAAGTGAGTTTAAACGAATGATATGCATGAACAGATTTAGACAAAATGCAGCCGTAAAGTGAGGACCTGACTCCTGCATGGTGCCGTGGGACTGATGCCTGGCGTAACGGGTAGGTCGACTTACGGTTTGTGAGTCACTTGGACACCATCCACGGCGATGGATTGAAGAAAGAAGGTGGTAGCCCGGAAAAGCCTGTGGCTGGATTCCTGACACAGCTCAGCTTAGAAAACCTCATGGAATAATCAGGTAAAATGGCGTCTGGATGACCCGGAAGTGGAAAATCATTCTGATGCTGACCTCAAGCGATAGGAGACAGGTAAGGGGTGTCCCTTATATACATACATACATATATATACACAGTGTATTTATTGATATAGCTTATTATCTCCTTATTGCACACAGTGTATTTATTGATATAGCTTATTATCTCCTTATTACACACTGTGTATTTATTGATATAGCTTATTATCTCCTTATTACACACTGTGTATTTATTGATATAGCTTATTATCTCCTTATTGCACACTGTGTATTTATTGATATAGCTTATTATCTCCTTATTGCACACTGTGTATTTATTGATACAGCTTATTATCTCCTTATTGCACACTGTGTATTTATTGATATAGCTTATTATCTCCTTATTACACACTGTGTATTTATTGATATAGCTTATTATCTCCTTATTGCACATTGTGTATTTATTGATATAGCTTATTATCTCCTTATTACACACTGTGTATTTATTGATATAGCTTATTATCTCCTTATTACACACTGTGTATTTATTGATATAGCTTATTATCTCCTTATTGCACACTGTGTATTTATTGATACAGCTTATTATCTCCTTATTGCACACTGTGTATTTATTGATATAGCTTATTATCTCCTTATTGCACACAGTGTATTTATTGATATAGCTTATTATCTCCTTATTACACACAGTGTATTTATTGATATAGCTTATTATCTCCTTATTGCACACTGTGTATTTATTGATACAGCTTATTATCTCCTTATTGCACACAGTGTATTTATTGATATAGCTTATTATCTCCTTATTGCACACTGTGTATTTATTGATATAGCTTATTATCTCCTTATTGCACACAGTGTATTTATTGATACAGCTTATTATCTCCTTATTGCACACAGTGTATTTATTGATACAGCTTATTATCTCCTTATTGCACACAGTGTATTTATTGATACAGCTTATTATCTCCTTATTGCACACTGTGTATTTATTGATACAGCTTATTATCTCCTTATTGCACACTGTGTATTTATTGATATAGCTTATTATCTCCTTATTGCACATTGTGTATTTATTGATATAGCTTATTATCTCCTTATTGCACATTGTGTATTTATTGATATAGCTTATTATCTCCTTATTACACACACAGTGTATTTATTGATATAGCTTATTATCTCCTTATTGCACACAGTGTATTTATTGATACAGCTTATTATCTCCTTATTGCACACTGTGTATTTATTGTTATAGCTTATTATCTCCTTATTACACACTGTGTATTTATTGATACAGCTTATTATCTCCTTATTACACACTGTGTATTTATTGATACAGCTTATTATCTCCTTATTACACACTGTGTATTTATTGATACAGCTTATTATCTCCTTATTACACACTGTGTATTTATTGATACAGCTTATTATCTCCTTATTACACACTGTGTATTTATTGATACAGCTTATTATCTCCTTATTACACACTGTGTATTTATTGATACAGCTTATTATCTCCTTATTACACACTGTGTATTTATTGATACAGCTTATTATCTCCTTATTACACACTGTGTATTTATTGATACAGCTTATTATCTCCTTATTACACACTGTGTATTTATTGATACAGCTTATTATCTCCTTATTACACACTGTGTATTTATTGATACAGCTTATTATCTCCTTATTACACACTGTGTATTTATTGATACAGCAGTTCCTTATTACAATCCCACAGGGTTTCAGGTGCACGCAGAGTCTCTTACCCACACAATAACTACAACTCCCGGCGGCCTCTGCGCCTATCCGTGACGTAGTACAGTACTCAGCCAATCACCGATAATTATTGGGCAAACGTTGATCGCGAGCTGAATGCGAGCTTTTTGACAATGATTTCCGGTCACGTGTTGTATAGAGCCAGGCGGAGACCGGAAGCAGCAGGTCTGTCAGAGCTCTCACCACAGCCTCTCTCTCTCACTGTCTGTCTGTCTTTATATCAATAATAATAATAATAATAATAATAACAATATATAATGTAATATAATATAGAGTGTATCTTTATATTAACATAATATAGAGTACGTCTTAATATAAATATAATATGGAGTCTATTTCATATAAACATAATATAGTGTGTCTTAATATATTCTAATATAGTGTGTCTTAATTTAAGATAACAATGTAATATAGACTCCATCTTTATATATATAGTATGTCTTAATCTGAATATAATAACAATTATATATAGTATGTTTTAATCTAAATATAATATAGAGTACATCTTTATATAAATACTATATATTATCATTAAGATATCTATATTATGTGTTTATATAACGGTATAGTGATACACTGTATGTAAATCGTATTGGTGTGCCACGTCCATGTTATAGTGATACGCTGTATGTAAATCGTATTGGTGTGCCACGTCCATGTTATAGTGATACGCTGTATGTACATCGTATTGGTGTGCCACGTCCATGTTATAGTGATACGCTGTATGTACATCGTATTGGTGTGCCACGTCCATGTTATAGTGATACACTGTATGTAAATCGTATTGGTGTGCCACGTCCATGTTATAGTGATACGCTGTATGTACATCGTATTGGTGTGCCACGTCCATGTTATAGTGATACACTGTATGTAAATCGTATTGGTGTGCCACGTCCATGTTATAGTGATACGCTGTATGTACATCGTATTGGTGTGCCACGTCCATGTTATAGTGATGCGCTGTATGTAAATCGTATTGGTGTGCCACGTCCATGTTATAGTGATACGCTGTATGTAAATAGTATTGGTGTGCAACGTCCATGTTATAGTGATACGCTGTATGTAAATCGTATTGGTGTGCCACGTCCATGTTATAGTGATACGCTGTATGTAAATCGTATTGGTGTGCAACGTCCATGTTATAGTGATACGCTGTATGTAAATCGTATTGGTGTGCCACGTCCATGTTATAGTGATGCGCTGTATGTAAATCGTATTGGTGTGCCACGTCCATGTTATAGTGATACGCTGTATGTAAATAGTATTGGTGTGCAACGTCCATGTTATAGTGATGCGCTGTATGTAAATAGTATTGGTGTGCAACGTCCATGTTATAGTGATGCGCTGTATGTAAATAGTATTGGTGTGCCATGTTCAGGCAAATTGGTTTTATTGTTGTGCTTTTCTTCCCCCCTTATTTAGGTCCATATTAATGTAACTTACTAAAGTGTGTTCTGGAATTACTCGGTGAGAATGAACAAGCACCGGAATCACGTGACAGAGATCATGGATCTCACTCTGAAAATCATCTACCTGCTGACTGGAGAGGTGAGGGATTCTGTGTAATGTCATTATGGAGATCATCTACCTGCTGACTGGAGAGGTGAGGGATTCTGGGTAATGTCATTATGGAGATCATCTACCTGCTGACTGGAGAGGTGAGGGATCTACCGTCAGTATGAGATCATCTACCTGCTGGACCGCAGAGGTGCTGGATCCTGGGTAAATGGGCCATTATGGTGACCAGACCCACCCGGGCTGACTGGAGAGGTGAGGGATTCTGGGTAATGTCAGTTTGGAGATCATCTACCTGCTGACCGGAGAGGTGAGGGATTCTGGGTAATGTCATTATGGAGATCATCTACCTGCTGACTGGAGAGGTGAGGGATTCTGGGTAATGTCATTATGGAGATCATCCACCTGCTGACTGGAGAGGTGAGGGATTCTGGGTAATGTCACCATGGAGATCATCCACCTGCTGACTGGAGAGGTGAGGGATTCTGGGTAATGTCACCATGGAGATCATCTACCTGCTGACTGGAGAGGTGAGGGATTCTGGGTAATGTCATTATGGAGACCATCTACCTGCTGACTGGAGAGGTGAGGGATTCTGGGTAATGTCATTATGGAGATCATCTACCTGCTGACTGGAGAGGTGAGGGATTCTGGGTAATGTCATTATGGAGATCATCTACCCGCTGGCTGGAGAGGTGAGGGATTCTGGGTAATGTCATTATGGAGATCATCTACCTGCTGACTGGAGAGGTGAGGGATTCTGGGTAATGTCATTATGGAGATCATCTACCTGCTGCCTGGAGAGGTGAGGGATTCTGGGTAATGTCAGTATGGAGATCATCTACCTGCTGGCTGGAGAGGTGAGGGATTCTGGGTAATGTCAGTATGGAGATCATCTACCCGCTGACTGGAGAGGTGAGGGATTCTGGGTAATGTCATTATGGAGATCATCTACCCGCTGACTGGAGAGGTGAGGGATTCTGGGTAATGTCATTATGGAGATCATCTACCCGCTGACTGGAGAGGTGAGGGATTCTGGGTAATGTCAGTATGGAGATCATCTACCTGCTGACTGGAGAGGTGAGGGATTCTGGGTAATGCCCACCGCGAGATCATCCACCCATTGACCAAGAGGAGGGATCCTGGGTAATGGCCACAAGGGAGATCAATCCACCAAGCTGACTGGAGAGGTGAGGGATTCTGGGTAACGTCAGTATGGAGATCATCTACCTGCTGACTGGAGAGGTGAGGGATTCTGGGTAACGTCAGTATGGAGATCATCTACCTGCTGACTGGAGAGGTGAGGGATTCTGGGTAATGTCACCTTGGAGATCACCTACCTGCTGACTGGAGAGGTGAGGGATTCTGGGTAACGTCAGTATGGAGATCATCTACCTGACTGGAGAGGTGAGGGATCCTGGGTAATGTCATTATGGAGATCATCTACCTGCTGACTGGAGAGGTGAGGGATTCTGGGTAATGTCATTATGGAGATCATCTACCTGCTGGCTGGAGAGGTGAGGGATTCTGGGTAACGTCAGTATGGAGATCATCTACCTGCTGGCTGGAGAGGTGAGGGATTCTGGGTAATGTCATTATGGAGATCATCTACCTGCTGGCTGGAGAGGGAGGGATTCCTGGGTACCGTCACTATGGAGATCATCTACCTGCTGGCTGGAGAGGTGAGGGATTCTGGGTAATGTCAGTATGGAGATCATCTACCTGCTGACTGGAGAGGTGAGGGATCCTGGGTAATGTCATTATGGAGATCATCTACCTGCTGACTGGAGAGGTGAGGGATTCTGGGTAATGTCAGTATGGAGATCATCTACCTGCTGACTGGAGAGGTGAGGGATTCTGGGTAATGTCACCATGGAGATCATCTACCTGCTGACTGGAGAGGTGAGGGATTCTGGGTAATGTCATTAGGGAGATCATCTACCTGCTGACCGGAGAGGTGAGGGATTCTGGGTAATGTCAGTATGGAGATCATCTACCTGCTGACTGGAGAGGTGAGGGATTCTGGGTAATGTCAGTATGGAGATCATCTACCTGCTGACTGGAGAGGTGAGGGATTCTGGGTAATGTCATTATGGAGATCATCTACCTGCTGACTGGAGAGGTGAGGGATTCTGGGTAATGTCATTATGGAGATCATCTACCCGCTGACTGGAGAGGTGAGGGATTCTGGGTAATGTCATTATGGAGATCGTCTACCTGCTGACTGGAGAGGTGAGGGATTCTGGGTAATGTCATTATGGAGATCATCTACCTGCTGACTGGAGAGGTGAGGGATTCTGGGTAATGTCAGTATGGAGATCATCTACCTGCTGGCTGGAGAGGTGAGGGATTCTGGGTAATGTCATTATGGAGATCATCTACCTGCTGACTGGAGAGGTGAGGGATTCTGGGTAATGTCATTATGGAGATCATCTACCTGCTGACTGGAGAGGTGAGGGATTCTGGGTAATGTCATTATGGAGATCATCTACCTGCTGACTGGAGAGGTGAGGGATTCTGGGTAATGTCAGTATGGAGATCATCTACCTGCTGACTGGAGAGGTGAGGGATTCTGGGTAATGTCAGTATGGAGATCATCTACCTGCTGACTGGAGAGGTGAGGGATTCTGGGTAATGTCAGTATGGAGATCATCTACCTGAAACGCTGCAGATGTGGAGTTTAACCCCTCTGCTGTTGGAGGTGTAACTCCACCTCTGGTAGCATCACTGGGGTGTCATCAGCCAGCCAGGAACTAGAGATATGGCCTGGCTGGTATCAATGACTGACACTCTCAGACAATTACTGCAGCTTTGTAGAAGCTGTACATGTGTCACTGGGTCGCCAGGGCGCATCAGAGCCTGGCAGGGACCCAGGTAAGGGAGCAAACTGTTTCTAAATGGTTTGCCCCATTACCAGAGAACCAGAGCATTCTTCTGGCACCATAAGCACTACAGTAGGAAGCTCTTATTATTTTTATTGTTTGATTGTTTACACCTGATGGAGAGTAATAATTGGATGTTAATAGTTTCCTAGCCATCTACATGCTATGCAGACTTGGCATTGTCAGTATACTGGCAGACATTTTGTGTTAAGATAGAAATTAAAAGAGCATGCTGTAAGTCACCATCAGAACAGAGGTGACTCCATTTTGTAACAGAATGTTAAGACAGACACAACATTTTTCTCTATAACTCTATTCATTTTAAGCCTGAGGCTGAGGTATGCGACTTATGTAAACATTAGAGATAACACCTGAGATAAGACATGATGTCTACAGCAGGGGGGCTTGAATGTAAGAACCCAGAAATATGTGTGTGTGTATGTATATATATATATATAGTGGAAAATTTATTCATACTTACCGTAATTTTCTTTTCCTGGCTATTATTCATGGCAGCATATACACATGGGTTAGCTCCTCCCCTACAGCCGATAGGACAGGAAAACCACCAAGGTTTTAAAAGGAGGCTCCATCCCTAAGGTCCTCAGTCAGTTTACAAGCTCTACAGTACATAAATAGAGACATTAATGGGTGGGAAGTATATGCTGCCATGAATAATAGCCAGGAAAAGAAAATTACGGTAAGTATGAATAAATTTTCCACTTTCCTGGCTAATCATGGCAGCATATACACATGGGGAATACCCAAGCTTACAGAGGGAGGGACAGAATAGCCAATCAAATTATCAGAATAATTCAACATAGATAGAAGAATGAACTGAGTTAAGTACTTGAGTACCAAATTGTGCATCATAGACTGTTTTAACAAACAGTATGAAATGCCAGACAAACGTGTCTAAAGAGTTTCAAATGCTAGTTTACAAAAAGTGTCAGCAGAAACCATTGCCATGGCAACCCATGATGCTGCAACAGCATGAGAGGAGAGTGCCCTGATACCCTCCAGCACAGGTAGAGAACGGACGTGACGTCCAAATTGTGCCTCATTAATTGCTTCAATGTCCAATATGTAATGCAGGACAAACTAGTTCAAAGAGGTCCAAATGCCAACTTTACAAAGCTTCAGCAGAGACCATTGCCATGGAAGCCCACGAGATGCTGTAACAGCACTAGTGGAGAATGCCCCAAATCCTTTGCTACAGGTAGAGAACGGCATTGAAAGGCTCTCACTTTAGGCACGATCACTGGTGCTACATGCAAGACAACCATATCCTGTTGAAATTCAGTGAATGGGGGTACACAGGATCAAGCCTGGAGTTCACCCATTCCCCTTCCTGGGGTACCAGCCACCAGCACTTTCTGTGCTACCACCATGGAAGCTCCTTCTAGAGGTTTGAATAATGGTTCAGTCAGGGCCCGTGAGACCAGTGGTACGTCACATATTGGCTTCACCACACTCAGTGGAGGCATGATTTCAATCAATGCCTATATGAAGCAAAGTGCAGCTAAGTGCACACATTCACCCTGCTGAGGTACCAGTCACCAGCAACAGCAACGTCTGGGCTAACATCATGGAAGCTCCTGCTAGAAGTTCAGTCAGAGTCTGTGAGACCAGTGGTACGTCACATATTGGTTTCAACACCCTCAGCGGAGGCTTGAGTTCAATTGTTGCTTACATGAAGCAAAGCACCAGGGGCATCAATGCTCAATCGGTACCCTTCAGTACAGGTAGAGAATGACATAGATAAGCATTCACCATAGGCAGGATCTTCAGGTGCCAAATGCAAGACGACCATACCTGTTGAAAAGTAGTGAAAGGGGGTTCACAGGATCAAGCCTGGAGTTCACCCATTTTCCTTGCTGGGGTACCAGCCACCAGCACTTTCTGTGCTAACACCATGGAAGCTCCTTCTAGAGGTTCGAATAATAGTTCAGTCAGGGCCTGTGTGACCACTGGTACGTCACATATTGGCTTCACCACACTTAGTGGAGGCATGATTTCAATCAATGCCTATATGAAGCAAAGTGCAGCTAAGTGTTCCTCTAGAGTGTTATAACACAGACCCTTTCAAGGCCTGAACGAGTAGTAATTCCAACAGACAAAAGCATGTCAAGCTTAGTAAAGCCTGTATAGGATTGTAAGAGGATTTCAATGAACGTCTCAGGGATGCCTATACTAATATGGCCTCCCGCATCAACACCAGAACTTGAGGATCCTGGTGTGTCATGGGGCCTTGTAATAGGTCTGGACGTACAGGAATTTCCCTTGGAGTTTCCAGAATCATCTTATTCGTCATAGGAATTAGAGTCGACACCCTCCACATGGTAAAGCCTGGCCTCTTTTCTTACCCCTGAGGCCTCTGGAACTTACTTTGTAAGCCCTGCCTGCATGTCATGTGGCTGCACAGTGATAGGTCATGCTGAAGCGACAACCTTCTGGAGGAAGTCAGTGCATAACCGATTCCATCCACTGTTTTCTCCTCATAACCAGATCCTGGTGAAAAATCAGACACCTGACAAATAACTAAATATTACCTGTGGTAAAGTATTAAGAAAAAATGTGCACTGTTAAATTATATAAGAAACCAGCGAAACAGCTTTAAAACAGGCTGAAGACAGCACTTATCCATGTCTGGAGACCCTGCAAATACTTACCCCAATAAGTGTATGTTTACTGTAAGTTTCCCTTTATTTTAGGCACTTTCTGGCAATTGCCCTTATCCAAGATGGCTGCCACAACTTGTATTCCCACAAGTCATCTGTATTAGGCCCAATAAGGCACAAACTGCACACATGTGGGCCTATTCCGAGTGTGTTTGCTGTTTAGAGACCAGGAAGAGGACTCTGTCTGAAGCCTACATGGCCCCTAAACACCCAGGAAACCAGGAATAAATCACTGGGACCGAGGGGGAAGCAAAATCGATAAAAAAAGTGCCTGCAAGGAAGTTTAAAAGGCAACCACGTGCAAAAAGGTCAAAGTTTAAAGGCACCACAGTCTAAAGGCCTCAAGGTATAAAAGGTAAAACAGTTTTCAAATCTAACAGTTTCCAAAATGTAACAGTTTTTAAAATATATCAGTCTTCAAATGCACTGCAGTTTTCCAATGCACTGCGGTTTCCAATGACTTGCGGTATTACATGCAACAGAATTAAATGCCAATTTAAATGAAACAGTTTTAAATGCCACACAGCTTAAATGCCACACAGCTTAAATGCTTCCTAGCAAAAGCACAACCGCATAATGTACCACAATCTTAAAAATAAGGTACAGCTGTATAATGCACTAGTTTAACCCCTTAAGGACACATGACATGTGTAACATGTCATGATTCCCTTTTATTCCAGAAGTTTGGTCCTTAAGGGGTTAAAGATATCAAAGCTTAAATGCATCACAGCATAAAAGCACAACTGCATAACGTACTACAGTAAAACAGCAAATAAAGTAATGAAGATAAAACAACATACATGTCCGAAGTAAAGGGAGCAGATTGCTCACGTCCTAAGGGCTGTAGGACAGGAAAAAGACTGAGGACCTTAGGGATGGAGCCTCCTTTTAAAACCTTGGTGGTTTTCCTGTCCTATCGGCTGTAGGGGAGGAGCTAACCCATGTGTATATGCTGCCATGATTAGCCAGGAAATATATATATATATATATATATATATATATATATATATATATATATACATACACACACACACACACACACACACACACACCGCTCAAAAAAATTAAGGGAACACAAATGTGCATGTGTCTGCTCAGAAACAGACTCCATGAGGGTGGTATGAGGGCCCGACGTCCACAGGTGGGGGTTGTGCTTATAGCCCAACAACGTGCAGGACGTTTGGCATTTGCTAGAGAACACCAAGATTGCCAAATTCGCCACTGGCGCCCTGTGCTCTTCAAAGATGAAAGCAGGTTCACACTGAGCGCATGTGACAGTCTGGAGACGTTGTGGAGAACGTTCTGCTGCCTGCAACATCCTCCAGCATGACCGGTTTGGCAGTAGGTCAGTAATGGTGTGGGGTGGCATTTCTTTGGGTGGCCGCACAGCCCTCCACGTGTTCGCCAGAGGTAGCCTGACTGCCATTAGGTACCGAGATGAGATCCTCAGACCCCTTGTGAGACCATATGCTGGTGCGGTTGGCCCTGGGTTCCTCCTAATGCAAGACAATGCTCGACCTCATGTGGCTGGAGTGTGTCAGATGTTCCTGCAAGACGAAGGCATTGATGCTATGGAATGGCCCGCCCGTTCCCTAGATGTGAATCCAATTGAGCACACAGGGCCAGTGCAAGGATTTTTGCCGCCCTAGGCAAAAGAAAGATTTGCCGCCCCCCCCTTATCCCCCTCCCAATGACATCACAATGCCCCACCCATATGATCTTCCATATGAACTAACGCCAGTGCTGCACACAGTGTGTGTTTACATTAAAAGGCATGCAGGGACATATTATAGACACCAGAACCACTTCATTAAGCTGTAGTGGTTCTGGGGACTATAGTGTCCCTTTATTGTGAGGTAAATTAGAGATTAGTGTCACTAATAATATACTAGATTGCCTCCTTACAACTAGATGAGGATGGTGATGGGCTCTGGCTGCAGTCTGGCTCCACTGGTCTGGTGTAGAACAGGATATCTGCAGGCTGTTTGTAACTGTGGTCACAAAATTCAATGTTCTGGGAGAACGGGAAGCTGCTCCATTTTTTGGGGCCCCTTACACAGCTCAAGGTCTGGGCCCCATGGCCTGACTGTGAGTATGCCCATAAGGTCCACCTATATGTTCGTTCACAGGAAGTGGATTGTGTAGGGGATGTGTTATGGTAGAGGATCTAATGTGTGTGCCTATGGAATGTAGTGTATAGGGATACCAGTTTGTGTAGGTGATGCAGTGTGTTTGTGTGTAGTGGAAGCAGTATGTTTTTGTGTAAGGGATAGAAAGCAGTGTATGTTTGTGTATAAGGGATGTATTGTGTGTTTCTCGTTGTGTGTAAGGGATGCATTGTGTGAATCTGTTTGTATGCAAAAGGGATTCAAAGTGTGTTTCTGTGTATGTAAGGGATGCAGTGTGTGTGTGTCTGTAAGGGGTGCGTTGAATGTGTGTAAGAGATGCATTGTGTTTCTGTGTGTGTGCGCAAAGGATGCATTGTCTTAAAGTGTAAGGGTTGCATTGTGTGTGTGTGTTTCTCTGTGTAAGGGAAACATGTTGTGTGTGTAGGGATGCATTGTGTGTTTCTGAGTATGTATAGGGATGCATTGTGCGTAGTGTGAAAGAACTCCCTGTCCTGCCCCCTGTCCTATAGAGCTCTCCCTTCCGTCCCTTAGAGATCTCCCCTGCCCCTTAGTGGTATCTACTCTCCTCCCCCACCTCACTTAGTGGTCTCCTTTTCTCCCCGACTTTCCATTAGTGGTTCCTCGTCTCCCCCTTAGTGGTCTCTGCTCTCCTCTGCCCCCCCCTTTCCATCAGTTGTCTCTCTTCTCCCCCCCCTTTCCATTAGTGGTCTCCCCCCACCCTTCGTGGTCTCTTCTAACCCCCGCTTTTCATTAGTGGTCTCTCCTCTCCCCCCACCCTCCCCTAGTGGTCTATCCTCCACCCCCCTCCTCCTTTAGTGGTCTCTGCCCTCCCCTCACCCTCCCTTAGCGGTCTCTCCTCACCCCCCTCCCCTAGTGTTCTCTCCACCAACCCCTCCTCCTTAGTGGTCTCTCCCTCCCCCACGTTCTCTTCACCCCCCCCCTGTTCTCTTTCCCTCTGTGTTCTCCTCTTCTTCTCCCCTGTTTCTCCTCCCCTTCTCCTCTTGTTCTCCTCTTCCCCCCTGTAATCTTCTCTTCTTCTTCTGTCTTCTCTTCTTCTTCCCCTGTAATCTTCTCTTCTTCTCCCCTCCCTCCCTGTAATCTTCTCTTCTTCTCTCCCCCCTCCCCCCTCCAGTGGTCCCGGCCTCAGTGTGCACTTCCTATCAGTCCGGCCAGGTACAGGAAACAGAAGCTACTGTACCGCGGACCGGAGAGGAGCTCGGCCACGCTACAGGGAAGGTGAGGCAGTGCGGCAGACACCTGAGCGCTCTCTATAGAGCACTCAGGCGGCTGCAGTATTTAAAGGGCCGGTGATGGGGGCACAGGGCGTACCCCTGCCTAGTTCGCCTTATAGGAAGCACCGGCTCTGTGAGCACCTCTGGGACATCATGTCTCGCTCCATCCACCAACGTCCCGTTGCACCACAGACTGTCCAGGAGTTGGCAGATGCTTTAGTCCAGGTCTGGGAGGAGATCCCTCAGGAGACCATCCGCCACCTCATCAGGAGCATGCACAGGCATTGTAGGGAGGCCATTGGAGGACATTACATCAAAGTTGGATCAACCTGTAGTGTGTTTTTCCACTTTAATTTTGAGTGTGACTCCAAATCCAGACCTCCATGGGTTGAAAAATTTGATATCCATTTTTTTAATTTTTGTGTGATTTTGTTGTCAGCACATTCAACTATGTAAAGAACAAAGTATTTCAGAAGAATATATAATTCATTCAGATCTAGGATGTGTTATTTTTGTGTTCCCTTTTTATTTTGAGCAGTGTGTGTGTGTGTGTATATATATATATATTTGTGTTAAGGGCTCATGATAGTACAGAAGATACAAACATTGATAAGTATGGGATAGTGTGAAAGAGCAAGTCGGTTGTGGTGTGCCGGAACCGACGATGAGGTAGGCCTGTAAATAAAGAGGGCCCACCAATAAGAAATGTATGAGAAAAGGAGTTAATAAAAGAGGAGTGGGTGGGAGGGTGATGCAGCGCTGACCTCGAACGGTATGGAGCCAGGTAAGGGGTGTCCCTTAAGTAGGGAGAAGGTGAGTCATACGCCCCTCCCACAATTACAGGCCAAAAGGCCTTAATACTTGTGTTAAGGGCTCATGATAGTACAGAAGATACAAACATTGATAAGTATGGGATAGTGTGAAAGAGCAAGTCGGTTGTGGTGTGCCGGAACCGACGATGAGGTAGGCCTGTAAATAAAGAGGGCAAAAAGTAGAAAATATACTTTATTACGAAACGAGCAGTATACATACTTCAACCAGACATATCTTGAAAGGCATTTCTGACTTCTTGTACTGGGTTAGGTATGTATCTAGAGTATGCAGAAGACTTCCAGCGCCCTAGTGACTTGATAACATGTACTGGAATGTTTGCACTGGACGCTGTGGAGGCCGCCCCTATGCGGAAGGAGTGGCCCGAATAGTTAGCTGATTTTAGGCCTAGTTGTGTAAGTAGGGACCTGACGTGGGTCATGAAGGTGGTGGTAGTGAGTACCGAACCTTGTAGACAGAAAAGTGGTTGAGATGGTGATGCTTTGAAATGCTGGTATAGGTGTCCAGTAATGTGACGGGGCACCACACGTTGTGGGTAGGATAGTATCTAACCTCTACCGGGGGTGCGTGTTGATTGGTTTTGGAGTGATGCAGAGCTAAAATATAGTAATCCATGTGTTTCGTTAAGTGTGAATGAAGCAGAATGTGAGTGGACTGGGATGTGTTGATGGCGGTAAATTCTCTTGGTCTCAAGAAACCATAAAAAGCTACGTATATGGCGGTTTTTATAACAAGGTTTGTGTTGTTCGCAAAGGGTTTTGAATCTAGTAGGCTGGATAAATCCTTGAAGATATTGAAGTCTATAGGTAGCCTTTGCGCGGTACGTGGGGGTTCGGATCTCTGGATACCTCTAAGGATGTTTTTGATCTGGTAGGAGGACATAAAACTTGTGTTGTTTGGTTGTAATGTTAGCATGTGATGTTGTATGCCTGTCAGATATAGCTTGATTGTGTTGTGAGATAATTTAAGTTTGAGGTGGCAAAAAGAAGCAAAACCTAACAAAGATGTCATGATGAAAGGTTGTGTGACGTTGTGCAGTGACAGGAATCTTTTAAATAGAAGGAAAGCCCTGTCATATGTTCTCCGGGTATTGGTGGACAGTGCTAATTGTGCCAATGTCCTGCTATGTTGCATAATAGCTTCTAGTCCATGACTAGCTGGTGGAAAGGTGGAGTGGTCGTGGCTGTACGTGCGGCTGACGGAAGTATTTGCCGAAAAGCCTGAAAATTGAAACGAGACAAATTGTCAGCAGCCGTGTTACAAACACCTGGGACATGGACACATAACAAGAAGAAATTGTGGCATGCAGCTAGCCAGGTGAGTTTCCTCAAGAACCTCATAATGATCAGTGACTTGGATCGGCCTTTGTTTATGATGTGGCAGGTAGCTTGGTTGTCTGAGTGGCAACGTACTGACGAACCTGCCCATAGATGCCCCCATGTAACGGCAGCTGCTACTATGGGATACATCTCAAATAGAGCTGAGGTAGTGGAAAACCCTTCCAGGTCCTGTACCTCTGGAGGCCAGCTACCCCAAAGCCATTCATTCCCGTAAATTGCTGCAAAACCTGTGGTAGACGCCGCGTCTGACCAGATGGTAGGTGAGGAGTCAAGACAATTCAGGGAGAAACATGCTTTTCCCATTCCAGGTGGTCAGAAAGTTTCTCCACATAAGTAGGTCTGCCGTGGCTTGGTTATCCAGTGGTAACCTGTGTGCATCATGTCTAAACAGTGGGAACATGGTTAGGAGCCGTGAGATGAAAGCCCGGCCTTGAGGTATTATGCGCATGGCAAAGTTCAGTGACCCAAGTAGAGACTGTAATTCTTTGCGATTGCAAGTACCGAGGTGTATGTAGAGGTTAATGTTGGTGAGAATGTTCTCTATCTTGGTGCGTGGCAGGCTGGCTTGCATGGTGGCTGAGTTTAGCATGATTCCCAGAAAGGTGATGACTGTATCTGGTCCTTCAGTTTTGGTGGGGGAGACTGGAACACCCACCTGTTTAAAAAGACTGATGGTTGCTATGAGGCTACTGGGAGGGGAAGTGTTCTCTTCGATCAGTAAGAAATCATCCAGGTAGTGTATAACTGTAGGGCATCTGGCTACATTTAATAATAACCAGCATAATGTTTCGGCGAATACGTCGAAAATGGCCGGACTACTTTTTGAACCAAACGTTAGGCGTGAGAAAAAGTAGTAGTGCCCGGCCCACTTAATGCCATGCAGGTGCCATAGTGTAGGGTGGATAGGCAATAATTTGAAGGCATTTGTAATGTCAGTCTTGCTGAGCCATGCTCCGACCCCTGCCTGCATGATAGCTGTAATGGCGTGATCTATGGTGGAGTATTGAAGTGAAAATTCCTCAGAGGGGATAAGGGAGTTCAGACTAGGTGAGGCAGAGGTGTGAGGTGCAGACAGATCGATGATAAGTCTTTGTTTGTGGGAAGATTTCCCTGTGACAATACCGATGGGGTTTGTCCGCCATGTGGAAAAAGGAGGGGACTGAAAGGGTCCCAATAGGAAGCCCTCTGCCACTTCTTTGGCTATGAGTGTGCTAACCGCTGTAGGGTTTTGTTGTGCAGATTGTAAATTAGGACATTCAAGGATTCCTGAAGGCATGTGTATGAGACCAGTATGGAATCCTTGTGATAGACCAGTGATGATGAAGTCTACCAAATGTCTGGATGGATGTCGTGACAGTAATGCCGTGAGTACAGAAATATTTATCTCGGTTAAGTATTGCTTAGGGTACATTTTATTTGGACACATGGTTTTCGCATGTGCCCTAAAACATTTTGAACATATATGCAATAACCGACAACCGCTGTAATTACATGCACCGACATTGAAATTATTACATATTTGGGACTTCCCCAAAAACTTGATAGGTCGACCCAGTTTGTCTTTGGGTGTTCTCTCTGCTGACACAGCGGAGCTAGTGCCCTGCGAGGTGGTAGGTTCGTTCGCAGTGGTCGGACAAAAATTGGCAGTATGAGCCATGGAGGAGCAGTGTGCACAGGCCGGTGCTCTTAGACCTGCAAAGTGCCTGCAAAAAATGATCGTATCAATCTTACTCCAGTTGGACCTTGTCCCGTACTGTGAGAAGGCGCCAGACACTTTGGCAGAAAAGGATCTATGGTAGTCATAGAAAGCTGACCCACCATATTTGTTGCCCAGATCAACCAGCCTGTGCATATATAAGTCAAACTCCTCACGTCTGTGGGGATATACCGTACAGACCACATCCCGATAAATGCCAAAAGCTAATACAAATTCTGGAATGGTTAGCTTCCTATTTAATCGTGCATCCCTGGATTTGACCACCACAGAAATATCGTCATAAGCGTAGGTCTTATGTTCCACTATATCCTGGGAGGCAATTAGTAGTGAGGCCAGATTGACATCTTTACCTTCCAGGATATCTCTCCTGAGGTGCTCAGGAATCATGTGGGCAGGGTAAACTTCTTGGTCATCCGAGGTGATAGCTGGAGAAACTGATTGCAACTCCACCACTGATGGGGGAATTGCCGTGGCCGGTCCAGCCATAGTGAGGGCTGTAGTGACCGATTCAAGTTTCTCCAGCCTAGAATTGACCTTGCTCATGGATGTCATGAGGGACGTGAGCATGTCATGTATGTTCCCTGGGTGGGACTGGCTCGACCCTTCCCCAGCGTCCGTGTTATCGGTTGAGGTGTGTAATAATCTGTAAAGTTCCGCTTTCCTTGCTGTTGCTGGAAAAGGGATTTGTCGTCTCCTGAGTTCGCTAGTGATACGAGGGATAGTCCATGATCTGAAAGATGCTGGACTAGCCGTATCTTCCTCCTGTGATGGGGTGTTGGTTCTAGCCGGAGTCCTTGGGATGGAGAAATCCTCTACCCCTTCTTGCGACATACTAGATTACAAAGTATATGGTTAGCATAAAAACCCCCGAGGGGATGTACTGGCAGGCTAATTATGCCGGATGAGGCGAAAAATTAAAACTTGTTCTTTGGTGACAGGTGACAAGTGGCTATGAGAGGCTCTATCTATGCGTTGGCGCGAGGGGTTATTGAGGCCACCCGACGTAGTGGCAGGAATTCGTAGGCCTCTCGGTGACAATACAAGAAAACAGGGGAAGGGAGTGACAGGTGGCACCCTCTCTATAATGCGAGGCGGCTAACTCACGTGTGGCCCGGGGGGCATTACCTCCGAAACGTTGAGGCGGGGTGTTGGCCTCGCGGACCACTAAACGATAGGCAGAATGCCTGGAGGGGGGATACCTATTTGGGCCTATAACCCCTAAAATTGCCAGTACTCTATGTCCTAAGTAGAGGAGGAACCATATGTGATGTATGGCGTGAGCAGGCTTAACGTACCTGGTAGTATGTATGCGTTAGATAAGCGATAGGTAGAGAAAACTGGAAAAACCTAAAGGGATAGAAAAACCAAATATGATAGTGTGAGAATTGGATCCTATGATACCAATTTAGACTAGTTAGTTGTGGTGAGTTCTAGTAGTACATATGGAAGGGAATATATGAATGATAATGGCCCGACTGGCCCTGTCTGTGGTATGGTAATCATGCTTGGGGGTGTGTATGATATGTCTCTATGGAGACCAGATTTAATAGTAATGCTAGTGTTTGTAGTATAATAAAGTGCAGGATTTAAAATAATACCGTATATGTTAGGCCGTAAACGTAAGCCATGAAAAGAGGTAAGTACGAGGTACAGAAATATTTGAGAAGTTATCCCAATTAGGAAACAACGTGACGTATGAGTGGTTGAATCAAGACGTGTGATTCAACCCGAAAGTTTGTGAGATTTATGAGACCGTGTTCTTGTGTACTTGGTATGACGTTTGAGTACACAAAGAAAAAGTCAGAATATATAAGTGCCATGTAAGAAACGTGAGTACATGGTATGATAGAAACGTAATTTCTAAACATAATTTATAACGTAAATCCTACAAAAGATATCTGTAAAATGTAAAAGCTTGTCTAAGCTTAACTCCATAAATAAATGTATATAACATGAAGAATTTCAATAAAACTTTAATGATACCATATCTGCTAAAAGATTAAACCATAACCTAAATAAACACTTATTCATAAGTAGTTAACAGGGGTATTGCCCCAGTCATGCAAGGATTTTGTAATTTTGCATAAAATAATTAACAGTAATAACATGAAACCAATTATAGCTGATGATATGCATAACAAGTTTGCTTAATGCAAGAAAAAACCGAACCGATATGCCTGCCGGCAGCAAAGGGGTTAATATGCCTGTGACTTGGCCGTAAAGCGTGTGGCCGTAAAGTAAGGCCGTTTAAAATCGCGACGCCGTGGGAAATGATCCGGGCGACGGACTTACGATTTTGAAGTCCTGTGGACTTAATCTGCGACGAAAACACCGGGTATGTGCGTGGCTGAACGGGCGGAAAACCTGTAAGGATTCCTGGACACAGCTACACCAAACGAAAACCGCGGGTTTTGAAAAGCAAGATGGCGCCGTACGTGAACCGGAAGTGGATTCTCGATGCAGCGCTGACCTCGAACGGTATGGAGCCAGGTAAGGGGTGTCCCTTAAGTAGGGAGAAGGTGAGTCATACGCCCCTCCCACAATTACAGGCCAAAAGGCCTTAATACATATATGTGTTGGAAGGCCAATTGGCCTGAATTTGTGGGAGGAGTTATGACCCTATATAAACCCTACTTACCTTTGCCGTTCAAGCTGTTTTGACTGTCACCGTAGTTACGCTATAAAAATTCTACCGAACGCTTATACTCACTTTACGTTCACCTGTTTCTCACTTTCGTTAGACGAATCACATACGAACGGCTGGGTCACTAGCATTTCATTTTCATTAATCTAAACTCACGCGGTCATATTATATTTCTCTCGCATGTTCAGTAGCCGAATGCATAAGGTCTATGCACTTTAAAATTTTTATATTTAAGTATGTTCCTCTATATATGATTTTATATATGTTCACAGCAGTACCTACATTTTCCCTTATTCTAAATGGCATTTTTCACCAGACTTTGTCACATTTAATTATGTATACATCCCAGGCGTATTCTCTTAAAGTAACAGTCTCCCCTTTACGGTTAAGGGACTAGCCCCACAAAACCTCCTAAAGTTCTCAAACTCCATGCTCACTTTTCCAGTAGCTCTTATTTTAAAATCTCTGTTTATATTGTAACTCTATACTCAGGTTCCTTAATTTTAAAAATGTTTTAGGTTGTACTACTTATTTTGTCAAGACTCCAGGAGGTGATATCAGGTAAATAAGGTTACAAATTTTTACGATTCTCCTGATGCCTCATTTCAGCCTCCACGGCCTTTTTTACCATACCCTCCCAAAGTGGGCTCAAAACTTTAAACACACCAGGTTAAAAGATGCCTCATTCTCCAGGTTACTATTATATTAAATGTTATAAAAATTCCATTTTAATTTCTACATATCATTACTTAGACCTGCACCATTGCCCAGATTCACTACGCCTTCAACGACCATCAGTCTACCTGGTTCTCGACGTTCCAGTAGGTATCCCTAATCTTACTCACTATTATTACGTCCTTCTAAGGCCTCACTTCGCCTTCATATCTGTCAAATAATATTGCTCAGTTGTGGGATCCCAGGGGCTGGTCTAAAAATTTGGACCTACGTTCAGGTACCTCTGATTACACAAGCGTTTATGATACAATTTTTCTGTTACACACCATTCCATACGTTCTACATTTTTACACTTGGATTACCAATGGCACGCCTCTGGCCTACTAGCATCTTTCTTACCTCTAGGTTCCTGGACTGGACCTGTTCTACAAAGTATATATAGACATATATATTGAAGTCACCCTGAGCAATTTCCAAATATACAGAATGAACACTCAAGGTCAGTATCTACATATGTTACATACTTCCTTCAAGAGACAAGTGCCCGTCAGGGTAGAGAACTGGCTTTCAGGGTCAGGTGCTGGCCCTAGCTTCCCCCAATAATTCTACGGTCCGCGAGGTCTACACCCCTACCTCATACACGGAGGTTCAGCCCCAAGACCAAATCATAGCTAGCCACCTCGCTTGCTCTTCTTTAGGGCTACAGTTAGGGCTTCCCATGTCACGGCCACATGTTTTTGAAACTCTTACAGTCACCGAGAGGCCGACATCCTGCCACCCCCTTCTGGTGGCCACAAAACCCCCTCTGTCCAAATCATAGGTAGAGCCTCTCACCGCCGCTTGGCAATAGCAGGGCCTCATCTGTCACTTGGTTCTAATTTTAATTCTTCACTTCGACATTAGCTAGCAGGCCAGTTCTCTGGGGGTCTCATCCCACCTCCACTATACACTACTTATCCATATCATTATTCCTTTCAGGATGTCTCAAGAACCAATCATCGATTCCCCCATCAGACGATATACCCAGCACGCCAGCCAGGCCTGGGTGTCCGGTGGAATCCCTCACTCCTTCTACCCCCAGATCCCTAAGCTATTGGACCATTCCAAAAATATCGGCTCAGGGGAATCCCCTTTCCAGCCACCGCCAGAAAAGCAGAACTTTATAAACTGCTGACGACTCAGGCCGACGAGCCAAGGTCCGGCACGAGTTCACAAGGGCCTTCAGTTGGTTTCTCTGATTCCACCCAGGAAACTCTGACGGCTATACTGGCCAATCTGCAATCCATTAACAGCAGGTTGCTGAAGGTGGAATCAGCCATAGCCACTCCAGGTGACTTAGCCCCAGCAGTCCCTACACCGGTAACCTTGACCGCTCTGACTGCCATACCCCTCATTTCCCCTCCCCCACCAGCCACTACCCACACCTCACCAGCCCACTCTGTTCTGGCTACCATCAAGAAAGATATTCTTGATGGAAAAGACGTCAATTTAATGTCCCTCCTCATAGCCTCCCAAGACGTCTTAGAAAATTGAACTTATAACTACGGGGACATTTCAGTTGTCTTAAGAGCCAGAGACCCATGTTTGAATAAAAAACTCACCATCCCACGGATTGTTATCGCATTCGGCACTTATCACGACGTTATCTGCACGGTGTACCCACATAGGAGAGAAGAGCTTGATTTATATATGCACAAGGTGGTTGATTTGGGCATCAAGTATGGAGGGTCTTCATTTTACGATTACCACAAATCAGTTTCAGCCAAGGCAGCTACTCATCTGACACAATTCAATATTAGAATCGATTGGTGTCAGATAGATACTGAGTTATTCTGCCGTCATTTTACTGGTCTGAGGCCCCCATCTAGTGCCTCTTGTGGTTCCAATTCACAATCCACCGATCTATGCCCTGGGGACGCAGCCCCTTCCAGTTTTTCACCCCACCACTCCCTCACCCCACTCCCTAGACAGGAAGGTGTCCAGCGAGACAAGCTGGGCAGACCCATCACCTTCTTGGGCAAGGCACAGGTGTGCAATAACTTTTTAACACAGGCATATGCAGCTACAGCGCATGCAGGTTGTTGCACATCTGCTCCATATGCTTCAGAGCCCACACCAAGTCTATGTGCCCGACCCGTCTGACAACTAACAAATAAGCTGGTTAAGCACACATTAAAATCATATGACGACACCACGTCCAGATAATGTCCCTTTCCTTTCGCAACCTTACTCATCTCGGCGGGGGGGAATGCTTACTTGCACTCCAAGCAATAAAGTTTGATTTGACATATGGTATCCTTTTTCTTGTTCATCCAGATCATGGAATAGTTTGTCATTCCAAATGTATAATTTTTGTTGTAATTTGCCTACATTCTACTATTCCAGCATGTAGGGATACATGCTTAAGCAAGATAGATATCTTACACCTCATTCTCTACACCTCCTCTACCCAGCTGCTTATGCTATTAAATTGCAGGTCTCCGGCCGGGCTCCCCCTCCGGCACACCTTCAATCAGCCAGGACGCCATCGTTCCTACGGCTAACCCTGGTTTAAACGAACTATTACTTCACGCACAAACACTCACGCACCACGCACTGTCTCCCAACACCACTATCTCTTACGCTAGAGCACTGACTATCTTTAACAATTTCACAGCCGAGTTTTGCTTACAAGGTGACCTTTCCATCAACACCATGGTGGCTTTTGCCTCCTTTTGCCATGTACACCTTAAACTTTCTTATAATACCATCAAACTCTACCTCACCGGAGTACAACACCACATCCTCACTAACTTCCCTAACCACGCTCCTTTTCTGTCTTCCTACCCCATTAAGAAAATCCTCAAAGGTATTTTCAAGGTCACAGTCCCCCCTAACACGACAAGGCTACCAATAGACGGTCCAATATTCCGGCTCCTAAGCGAATTATTGGACAAATCCCCGTTTGACCATAATACCAATTTAGTCATGAAATCTGCAATTTTTTTTGACTTTCTATGGATTCCTCAGACCTAGAGAGTTCCCCGTGGTACGTCAAGGAGAGACAGTACGATGCCTCAAACTTTCTCACAAAGAGAGTAGACGACCATTTTGTACTCTCTTTGCCTTCTATCGAGACTAATCACTCTGCCTATCCCCCTATCATTCCCCTCTTCCCTACCGAGAATTTGTGGGGCCCTGTACATATTCTGGATATGCTCCTGGTCTCTCACCTTATACACTCACCAGATACTCCACTACTTCTACTCCAAGGTCACCCACTCACCACAGCTAAATTTGTCACACATCAGAATTCTATTGTCTAGGTTAGGCTACAACCCAGCTTCCTTCTCTGGTCACTCATTTCGCATCGGCGCAGCATTATCAGTCTCTAGCACTAACTCCCCCGGTACACATCATAAGAGGCTGGAAATCCTCAATATACAACTCCTACATCCCTCGACCAGAAAGGGAGCTCAGGCAGGCTTTCAGAAATCTCGCCATTTAAACTTGCAATAAAGTGTGTTTACTTTGAATTCTTTTTTGCCCTCTTTTTTTACAGGCCTACTCGTATGTTGGTTTCGGCACACCTCAACCAACTTTGCTCCACCTCTACATTCCATTAACATAATAGAGATTCCGAGCACAAGTTGGAAGGCCAATTGGCCTGAATTTGTGGGAGGAGTTATGACCCTATATAAACCCTACCCCCCTACTTACCTTTGCCGTTTAAGCTGTTTTGACTCCACCCACCTTCACCCTCCTTTACACATTTATCTTTGTGGGCCCTCTTTTTCACAGGCCTACTCGTACGTTGGTTTCGGCACACCTCAACCAACTTTGCTCCTCCTCTACATTCCATTAACATAATAGAGATTCCGAGCACAAATATATATATATATATATATATATATATATATTATACACACTATCCACATATAACTTACTATTATATTAATTATATATAATTAGTACTATGTTAATAATATAGAATATTCATGATATAATATCAAGAGATGTCATATTATTTACTAATGTTAGTGGACTATGTGTAATCTTAACTATGTAGCTTCACACAAGAAAACCAGACACCAAATGACAGATAACACTAATTAATTTTACTTTCTAAAAACTAACGGAATCTTACAAGTTCCATTGTAAGGAAGGGTGAAATTAAGGTTAAGACATGTCAGGAGTCTAACATATAGTCAAAATTACAAATGCTCTGTCTGTAAAAACCAACCAAAGCATTTGAAGTGACATGTTTTTGATGGACGGTTATCCATGAAACATAACCATGATGATGTCAAATGCATCACAAAATTCATTTAACCCATTATACAAAAAGGTAAATGGACCCCATACAAGAATTTTTAGTGATGTAATTACGCCATCTATTGACCAAAATCTAGATGAGTCTGTAGGGAAGATATGCCCACAGTTTGCTATTGGTTACTATTAACTAGTGACGTAGAGAATTTTCTCCTTTAAAAATGAAAGACAAGGGAATGAGGGGAGACTGGACTCAAGACTCTCAAACACTGAGATTCTTACACTTAAAAATCACTCTCAGACATAAACTCAAGACTCACACTTAACATCTGAGATCTGGAGCCAAAGCTGGACACACCTAATTATTTATATTTTTCCAACTTACACAACTTCAGAACTCTGGAAAACTTTTCTATTTCCATACAATTCTATATACATCATACTTGCATTCAAAATTCTTGGGACATATCTGCACATCTGATAGAAAATCTACAACCTAACTGGTAATTATGCTGGTTTTTATTTAATTTAGTTAAAATTAAATTGATTTTACTAAAAGGCAGAATATACTTGGATAAAACCTGGTGATTTCTAACATCAAGGAGTCATGATTCGTTGATATATAGAATTCGTAATTCCATTCCTGCAGCTGGGCCAATGAACTCTAGATTACTTTTAACTTTAAAAACAGAATACCAGGCAATTACCCAGATATATTCGCTTATGTAATCTAGAAATAGTGAATCTTAATTAGGAAGGTAAAATATGGTTAGAAATATTCTAATTAGATGGACATTGGAGTAGTCAAATGATCTATTATGAGAAATATTGTATTTGTCATTGCAATATAATAGGATATCTTGCCTATGTGGATTGTAGCTAGCAGTGAAAGAGTTAATTCAGTGTGATTTGACTGTCAGACAAAGTTTTATTGATTTACGCTGCACTACTGTGAGATGCTGTATTCCGTGTTATGTTGATTTCTAAGTGAAATGTTCTGTCCTAAATCTTGTTGCATATAACTTGCTATTTAGCTGTCTATATTGTGTTAAACCACTGCCATATTGTATACTTGTGTTATACCTAAATATTCACTGATTATTGTCACGCATGTTACATATATTATTTTTTATTATTGTCAAAATAAATTATATTTTTATAATTAATTTTTTATTAATGTGTGAAATAAAATCTTTGAATGAAACTTCCTCTAGGATCTATGAGAATTAAAATAGTGGGTAATTCTCAGCTTTAAATCATTAATCAGGGAAACGGTGCCAAGATATAAATTTTTGCTATAATAAAATGTATTCAATAAATTATTGATTTTTATGAAAATATTTTTAATATTGATCACCCCATAAATATCCTCACAGCATGTGATGATATGATGGACACTCTTAGCATTCCTGCATGTGGGGACATCTCTGGGGCCTGGGTGGATAACATTTCATAGTGTTCAAGCTGCTTTTGTTAGGGGTGATGGGTGTACTCAAATTTTTACGTTTTCTGATATTTCTATACTCATGTATATGACAAAACAGCCGTTTCAGGGGTGGGGGTGCAGACCACCAAGATGCTCTGTAGATAGGTGGGGGGTGTACCGTTGGCTATGCCCCCTCAGATACTGCCTCGCACAATCAACACCAGGTGACAGGGGAGGCTGAGCCTAACGAGGGGACAATCTTCTTGAAGGGTGGAGCCTAGTGCTGGACACCCCACATCTACAGAGCACCTGAGCAGTCCACATCCCCCCCCTAGGATTGGCTCTATGACTGATGGATCCTGTACATGCCAAATGTAGTAATGCGCTTTTTTTTTTTCCTTCTTTTCATATAATTAATTTAAAAACAAATGAAAGGATTATTATATAAACTAATTTTAAGATGACAGTTGCCCTTTAACTTGGGCAATTGCGAGGTATCATCTAAACAATTGGCCTCAAGAGGAGATACCATTCATGTTTTCTCTCAGAACTTTAATGCCACGAGTTTCTTTCATTGTATAGGACTATATTTTTGAGAAGAAACCTTTTGAACATATGAATGATCAACATAAATCAGAAGAATCCTGTAATACTGGAAGCCCCAGCTCAGCACTTCCACTCCAATTATCAATGCCTGAAAGTGACAATGACAAGAAGATCCTCTTATTAACCAATAAGATCACTCACCTACTGAGTGGGGAGGTGAGGCTGCTGGGAATGGGACATGTGTCTGGATGGTCACTGTATCATTTTATGTTTCAGGTTCTTATATAATGAGAGGATGTAACTGTGTGTCTCCTTGTAGGTGTGGCAGTATTTGGAAGGACACAATGATCTTTACAAGAACATGAAAACTGAAACTAATCAGTCTCTCAGTCGACGTGGTAAGATTATATTATGTGCAGACTTACTATATACAGTTTTGGGGTTTTTTTTCTTTCTTTTTTTTGGTTCTCTAACTGAAGTTAGACAACACCCTCTTATAATGAATGGTGAAACTGTTTTTTTTTTTTTTTGTTTTGTTTTTTTTCTTGGCTGCACAACAAGGATGAGAGACTGCGAGGGCCAACTGAATGTAGCATCTGAACCCGGGAACGCAATCCGTGTTCTCCTATTTGATAGAACAGGTTGAGGCAAGGCATGCTTTCTTCCTTTGGCTCATGTTGCCAAAATTTCAGGTACAAGAGCTGGTTCATCTAGCACACTTTAGTGGCCTAAAAGACCTTAAGGCATAGATGTAGATTTTTTTTTTTTATATATTAATTGAAGCAGAGTAATGTATCTTAAGTAAAACAAAATGCAGAATGAACCTCTATTGACACCCAGGGACCAGTCTTTAGATATATCATGCCTTCTCTGACTTTGTTTCCCAGCAGTGGATTACATAGCCCATGATACCGGAACTTGCCTTTCCCACAAAAACATAGTTTTTAGGCATAACAACCTTTGGAGTAGACCACATTGTGACAGTGTTGCAGTGGAGGAGGGTATTCACGTGCTTGGTAAAATAAATAAGGGCCATTGCTGACCTGCAGCACTAGGCTGGAAGTGAAAAGCGCTCTACTTTACCAGCCATAAATTACGGAGAGTGTAACGGATCACCTGGCACCCCGACTGGGTACCTCCGTTGAAGGATGCTCGTAGCGCTTCCTGAGGACTCCAAGCACTGCAACAGACACCACAACCACCAGACCGGAGAAGCATATGAATGCTCTCAAGCATATGAATGCTGTAAGCAGCTGAACAGGAAAAGCATACAGTCAGCTTACACTCCTGGCAATCAGCATACAATCCAATTCCCCCAATAACGAGACGACACTTCGTTTTGAGGTCAAGCAGAACTGACTGTACTGGCACATACAGCCTTTTTTATTCCCAATCCACAAACTTAGTACTGCCCACAGGGTTTTACAGAACAACCAATAACACACGTACATTACAGAAAACACTCCCAGCAATTATACACAAAATCCTACCCTCTGCTTGTGATCTAATTATGGCACACAATGGGTTAACATAATTATCACCAGCAGGAAAAATACAGTATCATAAAACACATCACAGGGACCCCAAAACATGCAATAACCCCATAAAAATATATCCTTGGAACCGGGGGATCTGGGTGAACCACATATCCAAAATTCACCCAGATCCGTTCTGTACTTTGGAAGATACAGTTTAATGCAGATTCTGCAGAACATATACAGGCTATATGAAAAATAATTACTGTATAATGTGTCCCCTGTTGTATAGTTTAAAACTACTGAACGAATACTGGCGAGATGGCACCGTGTTGAAAAGTCCAAACAGTGTCTGTGAGTTAAAATGGCCGCCATCCATTGTTCTCACCATGTGCTCCATCCATTGTTCTCACCATGTGCCTCTGATACATGAAATGGTGTCTTTAAAGGGTAATACATCCCAGGGGCCATAGTCACATGGCAGGAGGCTGGCAATCAGTCTTCTCCAATGCCCAGTGGCGAGGTCTGTTTTCCCACACGAACTAAACATTAGCCTCAATGAGATATAACCTGTAGAAATTGCAAATCTTTTTTTTCTCTTTCTTTTTAAAAATTATTTTTATTTTTTTTTTGCTGTTTGGTTTTCCTGGCTTTATGCTTGTCCTCCTCCAAGGTTTTTAAAAGAGGAAATTCTATTGGAGTAAAATAATTAAAATACAGTTCTCAGTGAATAGAGATCTCAGGATATAGAGATCAGAGAGAACAGAGATGTCTTTGGCCGCCCCGGTTTTTCTCTCTCTCTTAGAGGGTGTTAAGAAAGGGGGAAGGGAAGAAAGAGGAGGAGAAATAGAGGGGGCAGGGAAGAGATCAGAGAGGAGGGGGACAAGGAGATAGGGATAAGGAGAAGAAAATATGGCCACCAAAAAGTAGCAAAATGGCTAGCACTTGAAGAAGGAAAACAAAATAGAAGTGCAACCAGAAAACCGCTAGTCTTTTTTTCTCTCCCCAACCATCTGGGAATAAGTCAAATTTAGATGTCTTACCTGCCTGCTAAATCGATAGGAGAAACAAGCAGTACACAAATGGAGGGAGATGACAACTTAAGACAGGAAGAAAATCTATATGAACGATTACTCAGTCATCTAGATATACAATTTGAAAGAATGGAATAGGAGAAAATGCAATTGAACACACAGGTTATCAAGAGAGAACTTTCCTTAACCCCAAGGATACAGAGTGTTGAAGCAAAACTTGAGATGATGCAACAAGTGAGTAACGCCCACCAGGAAAAACATGCTATCCTGGAAAGGAAAATCAGATCTGGAAAATAAGATTATTGATCTGGAAGACAGATCAAGGAGGAACAATCTAAGAATTTGAGGAGTGTCAGAGCAAGTATAGACAACAGAGCTGGAATCATATATAGAAGAATTCCTCAAATCCATGAAGGTGGAATGGAATATTAAAAACCCTATGATGGAACTGTGTCATAGTTAATAAGCCTAAAGGCGTACCAGATCACCTTCCTAGGGATACACTGATCTGTTGCTCCTCTTTTAAACTTAAGTTACAGATCCTGAGTTCACTGAAGAAAAATATTCTCTCAGGAGAGTACGAAAAGTTAAAGGTCTATCAAGATCTGTCATGGAACACCAGACAGAAGAGGAAGACCTTTACAGAGAGCACAACAATACTTAGATCTAAGAACGTAAAATATTGGTGGGAGTTCCCCACAAAGATCTTTATATTGCACAAAGGCAAGATCTCAAGTTTTGCTACAGGAGATGAGCTTAAAAGGTGGATGGCTTTGAGTACAGGAATACGAAGAAGCAAAGATTTAGCTTGCTAGAGAATGTAAGGAGACAGTGGAGAATGGGGCAGAAATAGGAGAACCACAGGGAAGAAGGGATGGGCAGAGAAAAGAGAAGGAGAAGAAAGAAAAGACGGAAACAAGGGCACCTTTGGATTTATTTATTTTTTAAAGTAACGAGAAATGATGATAAAGACATACACTATTAAAAGTAATATTAACACTTTCTGCTATGACAGACACTATGAGTAATGGAAAATATTAGTTGGATGTATTTTTGTTATTTTTTTGCTCGGTTTCTTAATTTAAATTTTTTTATTTTTATTTATTTTTTATATAAAGACACACATGATAATCACTGATTTAGGTTGGCGTTATATTAACCCCTTAACACAATATTTGTGTTTAGTGAAGTCTCCCGATAATAACAGAACCCCCCATGTACAGGTTTTATGGTGTTTTGGAAAGTAAGAGAGTCACATATAAGGTTTGCATTTCATTTTTTTGACGTTGAAATTTGCCCGATTGGTTATGTTGCCTTTGAGAGCATATGGTAGCCCAAGAATGAGAATTACCCCCGTGACGCCATACCATTTGCAAAAGTAGACAACCCAAGGTATTGCAAGTGGGGTATGTCCAGTCTTTCATAGTAGCCACTTAGTCACAAACACTGGCCAAATATTAGTTTTTTGCTTTTTTCACACAAAAACAAATAGGAACGCTAAGTGTTTGTGACTAAGTTTATTTTATGTGAATGTGATGCATACTTGGCCCAAGCTCCAGGGAGTACAGACAGTCGGTCCTGCTCCCCAGCAGCAGAGTCTTCTACTGGGAGTGGAGAACCTCGTCACCCCTCCTCAGCAGCAGCCTAGCCCACCAAGGGAGATGATAAGCCCCACACCGGTGCAGATGAGACTGTAGTCTCTGTGCCCAAACCACAGGGGGTAGGGACGGTCGGTCCTGTCCCCCAGCAACAGGGCTGTTTAGCCAAAGGGGAGACAGTCTGTCTCCCCCCACAGCAGCATGGTGCTTTGTCCAAAGGGGAGACGATCAGTCTTCCCGTCCAGCAGCACAGCTATGTATCCAAAGGGGAGACAGCCGGTCTACCCCTCCAGCAACCAGGCTCCCACCAGGCTACTTCCGTGGTAGTGCTGGCATCAGGGCAGAATACAGCTGGTCTCTGCCCACCTCGCAACCCACCAATTCAGCGTACCAGTCCCCCACACAGCTGTGGTGAGGCACCTGGCCATGGACAACTTTTCCCCGTACTCAGGTGTAGTAACAATTTATTGTGTGTGGGCTGTACTACTAATTGTGTTTTATGGGTGGGTTGCTGGATTAACCAGGGCACTGACCGGCAGGAGGTCAGATACCCTGTTAGTCTGTTTGGAAAAGAGGAGAGATGTGACGAGACCAATCTCACCACTGTGCATTGGAGGAGCCTGGTTGCCCGCCTGCTGCCTTTAGACTATGGCCCCATGTTAAAATGCTTGATTTTCCCCTGCAAAGACACAAAATCCGGGTCATTCGGTGCTTGCTCTGTTTGAGCGGTGATACCCCAGATAGCTATGCCATGGAGCCCATTCATATAATGAAATACTATGGGAAAGACTTTTGCTCCATGGCAGTTGAACTGTATGTATGGGATCTGAGCGCCATTCAGTAATAATGTGCGCACAGATCTGAGCTATCTGGGGATATGTTGAATGTACCTGTTTTATGCAATGGCTGCACAGTTAAATATTTTTATGTATTTTATTGTCTTTTGATGCCATGTGTTCAATGGAGTTTTGCCTCTGTCCTTGGAGATTATTGGATTAATTCCCAATTATCTCCAGGATAGAAGACTCTGTGGAACTGGTTTTGGGCAGAAAAGCCATGCTTCATTTGGTCACAAAGGACTACGATCTATCTTTTAAACCACTGGACCAATTTGTATGATTTTGACGTATGTTTGTATTTGGAGTATGCTGATTCTGAAAATGTATGTATGTGATGCATACTTTTAAAATGATGAATAATGTGGAAAAACTCTATTTCTCTGCCTGTGATAATTACATTACCCATTGTGTAAGGTAATTGTATCACAGGCAGAAGGGAGGATTTTGTGTGGGAGTGTCTGTTTTGTACATGTTTATTGGTTGTTTTCCAAAATACTGTGGGTGGTACTAATGTGTATATAAGAACAATAAACCCAAAGCTCTGTCTGTTCCTGCTTGACCCTCAAAACGGAGCCTTGTCTCGTTCTTGGGGGGGATTTATTGTATGCTGTTCCAGTTCGACTGCTAGGAGTGTAAACCTATTCCTATGGTTTTTCCTATTCGGCTGTTTACAGTATTTGTATGTTTGAGAGCATTCGTATGCTTCTCCGGTTCGGTGGATTGGTGTCTACAGTAGCTGCCTGTATATCTGGAAGGGGAATATCCACTAAACGGCGTTTAACCCCTTTTATGCCCGGGGTGCCGTTACAAAATCAAACAAGGGGTGCTATTAATGATGGGAGATTTCAACTGCGTAATAGACCCTCTTAAAGAACTACAGTGGTAAAAAGATCAATAAAGGATCTTCAGATAGACTACAAAAATTAATAGATCAATTTAATGTGAGAGACATATGGAGAACGTTTCGTCCCTTGGATTCAAAAACATTTCATTCCTACTCCAGAATCGACCTTATTTTGGGGGATGTGGCCATGCTGTATCTTTTTAAAAAGATTGAAAAACGTGATATAACATGGTCGGACCACAACCCAATTATATTGGATTATAAACATGTCTTCGATAGGTTCAGAAAAAACTGGCGATTGATTATATATTATACAAAAATTATAATATCAAACAAATAAAAAAAAAAATAACTGAACTTTTTTGGGGGGAAATAATAAGGGGGCATCAGATACAGTAGTATGGGTGTGCTTATAAAACATAATTAGAGGCCACTTGATGGGGATGGCAGCCAGACTAAAAAAGAAAGAGGTCCCCCACTTGCAGAGTTATATATCATGCTAAATGAATATAAGAAACAGAACAAATCAATACCTTCCATAGAATTGGCCAAAAAAATATCAGAAACAGAATAGAACATAAATGTACATTTAGCCAATAAAATGGCAAAAACTTTAGAATTTTTTCAATCTAAATGGTGGTATAAAGGTAACAAACCTGAAGTGGTTATGACGAGTAAGTTGAAAAAGGAAAAAAAATAAGAGAGTGATATCCAAAATTAGGGATAAAGACACATACAAAATGGCCCCAGAACAGATAGGTGGAGCATTTGAAAGATTTTATAGAGATCTATATAACCTATCACAGGATTTATTTGGTAATGATGAAGAAATCCAAAATTCTTTGAAAAGATAGAAATACCCAAAATGCTATATGACCAAATAAAAGTAATAAATCAACAGATTTAAGAAATATAAGTCATCAAAGCAATAGAAAAACCATAAAAAAAGACCGCCCCAGGACCAGATGGATTTACAAATAATTTTTATAAAATTTATGAAAGATCAAATAAAGAACTGGTAAATGTTTTTAATCATATGATGACTACAGGAAGATGCCTTGGGGAGCTATTGAGAGTAAATATCGTCCCGATTCCAAAACCAGATAAAGATCCAGAACTGATAAGAAGGGGGAGCTTCTTGTCCAACCTAGAAAGAACATCCCACTTGTAAGTACTGCCACTATGCGAGAGGAAAAATTTTTTGTCGATTCTTGCGGATCGGCTGAAAGTTGTCATACCAGATCTTATTGACCATGATCAAGTTGGCTTTATTCCAGGCCGGTCGTCAGTTAATAATATTTGGAAAATAATAGATATACTAGAGGCAACAGAGATTAAGGGGAACCCACTCACGCTTATATCAATAGACACAGAAAAGGCATTTGATAGGGTAGGGTGGGCCTTTATGTCAGCCACATTAAAACAATTTGGATTTACAGGTTCATTTTTAAAAGCGGTATCTGCTCTCTATGATTCTCCACAGGCAAAAGTTAGGGGATCTGGATTTACTTTTCAAAGTTTTAATATCAATAACAGGACAAGGCATGGATGCCCTCTATCCCCATTGTTATTTATTTTAGTACTGGAACATTTAGCCATTTCTATAAGACAGAATCAAAAAATCATAGGATACAGATATTCACTAGGGCAGATCAAACTAAATATTTATGCGGACGATATATTAGTGATAGTAGAGGAACCAACTACTTCTATTCCAGAAGTTTTAAAAGAGATAAAGTTACTCGAGAGTAGCTGGTTACAAAATAAATTTAGATAAATCAGAAGTCATAATCAAGAATATGTATAAGCGATTAGTTCAGAATCTTATAAAAAACTATGGACTTCCAAATGATATAAAACAAAGTCTGAAATATTTGGGAATAATTATTGCATCAGAGACAAAATAGTTAATAGAAGCTAATGTTTTACCCTTACTAAAACAAACCAACAACAATCTACAAGTATGGAGGGGTTTGGGATTTTCGTGGTCGGGTAGAATCAATATATTAAAGATGTTTTACCAAAATGGCTCTATTTATGGAGAATGATCCCACTTAATTGCCCACAAAACTTATTATCAATGTTACACGTCTCTTTCTTTTTTAAAAATCTGTTTGGGGCGGAAAGAAACCTAGAGTTAAAATGAAATTTTTTTTTTCCACATAATGGTATCACAAAATAGATCCACAGAAAAGGAAAAATGGCATTCAATAGAGAAATATGGTACTGGGGTGAAGAACTTATCCTCTCTATTCTGGATATTAGATCTCCACTATAAAGATATTATGGAGGCAAGATCTAACTCACAAGTAATTAGAGATTTAACAGCATGGTGGGACATTTTTCAAAAAAATCATGGATTAAAAAACAAAATAATAGATTCATTACAAATTTCAGTGATTAATTATATGCTGGATAATATTAATATTAAACCTTGGAGGTATAAGGGAATAGAAAAAGTCAAAGACATAAAAGAGAACTATAAAATTAAACCCTTGGTATCTTAATGAAGGATAACTTTAATTATCTAAGAATTAAAGGGTTTTTCTCAGTACACATAATTAAAGGACCACTATAGTGCCAGGAAAACATACTTGTTTTCCTGGCACTATAGTGCCCTCAGGGTGCCCCCACCCTCAGGGTCCCCCTCCTGCCCGGCTCTGGAAGGGGGAAAGGTGTTTAAATTTACCTTTTTCCAGCGCTGGGCGGAGAGCTCTTTGCCTCCTCTCCTCTTCCGATCCTCCTCTTGGGCTGAATGCGCACGCGCGGCAAGCGCTGCACGCGCATTCAGCCGGTCGCATAGGAAAGCATTCTCAATGCTTTCCTATGGACGCTGGCGTGCTCTCACTGTGAAAATCACAGTGAGAAGCACGCAAGCGCCTCTAGTGGCTGTCAATGAGACAGCCACTAGAGGATTAGGGGGAAGGCTTAACCCATTCATAAACATAGCAGTTTCTCTGAAACTGCTAGGTTTATTAAAAAATGGGTTAACCCTAGAAGGACCTGGCACTCAGACCACTTCATTAAGCTGAAGTGGTCTGGGTGCCTAGAGTGGTCCTTTAATAATAGAGTAAAACAGAAGGGATTTATCAACTAGTCGAACAAAAAAAAACTGTAAAAGTATGCTGTCTAAATGCATTAAAGTTTTATACAAGATAAGACATGATAAACTTTCCGCAGCAATTGAAAAGTGGGAAAAAGATCTTCACATACAAATAGAAGAGGAAAGTTGGAAAAGTTACTTTAATAAACTAGATAAACATGTCCATTGCTTAAATCTGAGAGACTTGCAGTTTAAACATTCAAATAGATGGTACTTATCTTTTAAATAAAATATACCCAAATACATGTGACCGATGTTGGCGGTGCAACATATATGGTGGTACTGTCAATTTATATCTACTGGAAAGATATAATTACACTAATTGACCGTATGACAGGAATTAAACTGGCAATGGAGCCGGGCATAATCTTATTAAATTTAAACAAATCAGAAGTGAAGATAAAGGATTCGATGTTGATTTTCCATATCACAGCAGCTAAATTGTTGATAGCATGGAACTGGAAAAAAGTATTAATCCCATCCATACGAGAAGTAATAGTACAAACAATTTTTGGCAAGCTAAAATGGAAAGAGGTATTTTGATGAGCTTAAAAAATCAATATAGACAAATAGAATATTGGGACAACTGGATAGATAAATTAGATCTGTTTTTAAATACACCATAAAGGGCTTCTCCAATAGAGAAATGGATTGGATCTGGTAAAAGCATAAGAGGAATGGCAGATGTAATGTGATAGAAACAAGAGGGGAAAATAAGGGTTAATCAGGCATATATTAGAACTTGATGGAATAGCAGACAACAGTAGTTTGACTAAAGGGCTCCCTCTCTCTTGGTCCACAAATAAAGATTAAGTCTATTAGAAATGTGACTTTTAGTAGGGATAAGAATTTGATAATTAGGATAGGCATGGGGAAGGGTGGAGGAAATAGGGTAACATAGGAGGCAATAACGGTTTATCCCAATAGTTTCTCTTTTCTTCTCTTCCCTTGTGGGCGATATATATTTGATGTTATATGTACAAAGCAATATTATATTAATGATGATAGTGTCCTTCAAGCTATACACAATTAGTGTTAATTTCTATGCAGTAGCAAGGTACCTATCTGAAATATTAAAAAAAACACTGGTGCAACCATCTGTCTTCAGAAGTCACATAGAGGTAAATTATAATTGTGTGTTGGTATTTGATCAATACTATTTTTTTTGACCTGTGGCCAGTATGGAATGAATGTTCTCCTCTTGACTACAATCCAAAAATGCAGGGACATTGTACGGTGAAAAAAACACCCTGGTTTCTTATCAAACCCCACTCTGGCCCTCCGTAATTCCTGCGGTTGGCATTCTTTTTGGCACACTTACATATACACATACATGAACAAACAAGCAGTGTCAGACATAAACATTAACAAAGGATGGCCTGTACCTTGGAGGTAGGTTGAGGGAAATACAACCAGACAATCACTGTTTCTGCAGGGCTGCTCGCCACAAATCGTCTGTAAGGAGGGCAGTCAGGCAGTCTGCCGCCGGAACAGCGCTTCATTGGTCTCCCAGGTCTCTTACACTGTCTATCAAGTCCATCACAAGGATGTTTCTGCTGCCAGATGGCTCCTAGACTCACAGATGAGAGGCAGGGAGAGGAGAGCAGGTAGGGACCCCACCCCCGTTGCTGACATCCCTACCCATATGTCACAATCCGTCATCTTCATTGTTAATCACGTGATCTCAAGATTGATACAATGGAACTGTGAAGTTAACAAGCAAAACGTAACCACCTTGGACACATAATAGGTCTGTTTTACTACTTTTATAGTGCATTGGTTATTTTATGTGGTTTAATACTTTAATATGTTCCAAATTGACACTAATATTTGTGTATGTTTCTTTGTATGTTTTAGTGTACATGTAGTGTGTTTTTTTTTTTTTTATATATACAATGCTTATTTGTCCTTTCTTTTTATTGTTTAGCAAGGAATGGTTCATATAAGTTTGGTGACATTGCTTCCACACATTAATTCGGGGGAAGTGATTTTGGTGTTAGTCATGTTGCATCACTTTAAAATATTTTGTGCTGTTGTTTTATTATCAGCAGAGAGTTTTTCCCTGGTTTATCAGGACTTTTTGTGGTTGCATTTTTTTAATTGTCCAGTGTTTTCCGTTAATGTGATGACAACTCTGTTTTGGAATGGTTGAAAGTGTACATGTTTAACATGTATTCCTGACCCTTTAATGTTAAAAACACTTCTGGCACCCCCATGCCTCCCTAAATATAGTACAGTCTGATTTTTAGTTCAGTCTGCTGGTGCTAGCTCTGCCCTCGATCTGCCTCCTTGACTGACATCATCAGAAGTGATGATCTCAGCCAATCACAGGGCTTTCCCATAGGAAAGCATTGCATTGGCTAATATTGTCCATTCTGATGGGGGAGGGGTGGAGCCAAACGTCACCATGGCCAATCAGCATCTCCTCATGCTGCAGAGGGTGGAGACACTGAATGTCAGTCACACTGTGCAGCACTGACTCAGGAAACACCTCTAGTACCCATCTGAGGAGTGGCCACTGGAGGTGTCCCTAGGCTACAATGTAAGCACTGCCTTTTCTCTGAAAAGAACGTGTTTATGACAAAAGCCTGCAGGAACTGACTATATTCACCAGAACAAATACAATAAGCTGTAGTTGTTCTGGTGACTATAGTGTCCATTTAACATAAACCCTTAGTGCTGAAATTGTTATTGGAATCACATCTGTATATTTGATGGCATATTGGCAGTCTTTAACCTATTGATAATTTTCAAAACATGAGTTGTAACTTACTCCTTGGTTGAATAGGGTCCACCTGTGTGCACTTAATGTGACCCAGGATCTCTAAAGAATGCATCCAATGTTGAGAAAGTCACAGAATTTGATAGTAAACCTGTATAAACACACCTAATGTAGACCAAATATAGAGCCTGGAGAAGCACCAATCATTGATTGGTTTAACCCCTTAAGGACACATGACATGTGTGACATGTCATGATTCCCTTTTATTCCAAAGTTAAGTTTGGTCCTTAAGGGGTTAAATAAAAATCCACAAGTTTGAACATCCCCAGAGCAATCTATAATCCACGATTAAAAAATTATAAAATATGACACAACTGCAAATCTGCTTTGAGAAGGCTACCCATCAGAGCCCAGTGACTGAGTAAGGAGGGCATTAGTCAGCCAAGCAAACAAGAAGCCATTGGTAGTTTTGATGGAGCTGAAGAGATCGACAGCTGGATCTGAGAAACTTTCCATTGGTCACCTGAAATCCAGATTGCTGCCAAGCTAGACTAATGGATGAGTAGTGAGAAGATCACCAATGCTGAAAACTAAAAACCAGCTGCCAGTAGGCCAATTCTTGCTTGGAGTTTGTCAAAACTACGGATCCTCTCAAGCCTACAATGTCCTACTATTTCATATAAAGTATGATTTTATGTTTATGCTTGGCATACAGTACTAGTTATAAACACTGTGTCATACGCTTTCATGGTTTTAAAAGAGAAACTGGAATAAAACTACTAAAATAAAGATAATATCGAAGTTCCCAGCTGAATACTATTAGCTAGTTTGTCTTCTGCTTGCAGACCTCTCCAATCAGAAGTATCTCATTCTGGTCTAAGGAGATCGATCTTTCCCTATAAACCTTTTAGAAACAGAAGTTTATGAGACGACAAGTAGTTCATCTACAAAGAGCGATGTCATTCATCACATAGGAGGAGGGGCACTAGTCTATAAACTGATTTCCTTCATACTGCAGCAATTTTTTATTTACACATAGGCCATTTCACTGTTTAGTGAACTGTTCTTTGCACAGTTGTGCTGTACATGAAATCGGCTCATCTCTCACTGGAAAGGAGTGGATGTACAGCATATGTTATGCATGTGGTACACATTAGCTATGCAATGAATTAAAACGGCCCAGTTCCAGCCCGAATTCTCTTTTTACTACATTTGCTCATGATGGGTTGTGTAATTGTTTTTGTAAACATACCAGGCAAGACATATTTGGGATTAGCTTATAGCACATCTAGAAGATGCCGATGCAGCTCTGCATCCATAAGCTAGCTGGATAATTTCATCAACTGTCAATTTAATTGAGAGGTGAAAAGATTTACTCGTATATCTTCTAAATGTGATGTGAGATTGGTTTGTTCAAGTTAGAATCACTGTAATCCACAAGGTACCTTATGTTTCATTCTGCTACAACAGGCCAGGAGTATACTTTATAATTTAGAGAAAACACTTTTGAAAGCGACTGCTTCAATTTCAAGGTTGATGTGAAGGTCTAAGTAGTGACACCCACAATAGTCCTTTTATGCGCTGAACTTAAGCACGATATCTTGATGGGTCTCCTGTAGAAGGCCTTCCATTTCCATGCTGCCATGTCCCTCGAACAATAAATGTGGCTCCTTTTGTGTGTTGATTGGTATCCATACATGATAGTTCTCACTCAAAGTCTTAAAGTCAGCCTCTGCAAAGTGTGGCAGTGAAAATGGCACAAAACTACAAATAAGCTAATGAACAAAACTAATGTTCTTAAAGATTCTGTATTCAGAACTGATTTCTTCTTGAATTACTTATTTTTCCTGGCAAGTTTCAAATAAAAACGTTAGATTTTGTGTTATAATAGACATTGTCTATTTAATAAAAAAAATATATATATATATCTATATATATATATACATATATATATTTTTTTATTTTTTTTTAAAGAACCAATGTCCACTGAATTCTGGACTCTATTTGGACTCCAAAACAACTCGATTTCCACCCAATTTGATTACGCGGAATTATCAATATCAATTTTGTTTAACTTGGACAGCTGGGAGAAGTCGGTCAGTTATATTTTGTTCTTCTGGAGAGCCATGGTTATTGAACTCCACAAATATTAAACGCTTCCTTAAAACTAGTACACTGTGATGTATCCTGTATAGCACAAATCATTATAACATGACAACATAATATATATTTCATACATTGAAAAATTGCTAAAATGTACTTTATCAAATGCAAGTTTACCTAGGGAGGTATCAACAATAATAATACAAATAAGTTTGTCGCTTTTTTTTTTTTTTTCCTGTTCCTTGTGGCATCCTAGGATGAGCCTTCTGTATCGGACTTTAAACTATAAAATAGAGCAAATTGTTCCACATCTTCTGGCTTCTTATGACATTGCTAAGAGTCTTGAAAAACTTTCATAAAAAAACAATCTAATCACGTTGTTTGTTTCTTTCTAGCTGATGAAATTGTGGGCAATTATCTTTTTGAAGGAGTACACGCCACCAGTTCTTCAATGGATTGTTTAACCGAGAATGAAAGATATAGCATTAATAATGTGGCTGCAGAGTGTTCTAACACAAATAACGACATGGTGCAGAAATCAGAATGTTGTGTAAAAGGTATTCAGGAATCTGATGTACATGGAGCTGGAAATGATATGAACACCACTGTTTGTAAACCAATAGAAAAGACCCAGACAGAATATCGATCTACTCATATTAAGGAGGAATCAGCCTCATGTGAAGAAAGAAATCTGACAAACACTGACATTAATACACCAAAAGAACATAAGCAAACAGAATATCGATCTACTCATATTAAGGAGGAATCAGCCTCATGTGAGGCAGGTGTAGAACCTGACATATATACAGAATATACACAAGCAGATTATCAATCTACGTTTATTAAAGAGCAATCATTCTCATGCGAAGGACATCTTACAGAAACTGATGCTTATACACCCATAGAATATATACAAGCAGCATATCTATCTACTTCTTTGAAGGAAGAATCAACTTCGTCTGAAGATGTGAATCCTACAGCCGCTGGCTGTTACACACCCACAGAACATGCACAGTGTAGGTTTCCAGGTACTGACTATAACAAAGTTGATACTATAAGGGAAGGTAATACTATTCAACCTATAATTGACTGCAGAGAGCGTAGTATAAACTTAAACGATGAATCTGTCCATGCTGCTCATTCCAGGATACACACCATGAACAGAATTACCTCTGGAGCCAAATCCTTCTTATGCACGAAGTGTAATGGATGTTTCACTCACAAAAAGGACCTAGTAAGACATCAGAGAACTCACACTGGTGAAAAGCCATTTCTTTGCTCAGAATGTGGGAAATCGTTTACCCGAAATTCCACACTCGTAAGACATAAGAAAATTCATACAGGAGAGAAACCATTCTCATGCTCTGAGTGCCATAGAAGTTTCTCTCAAAAATCTCACCTTATTGTACACTATAGAGTCCACACTGGTGAAAAGCCATTTCATTGTGAGGAATGTGGGAAAATGTGTAATAGTAAAGCAGAGCTTGTTCGACATCAGCGAGCGCACACAGGAGATAAACCATTCTCATGCTCTGTCTGTGGAAGATGTTTTGCTGACAAATCAGCCCTTGTAAGCCACCAAAGGATTCACACAGGAGAGAAACCATTTGCCTGTTCTGTGTGTGGGAAGCACTTTGCACATACATCAACTCTCTTGAAACACAAGACAATTCACACAGATGACAAGCCATTTTCTTGCTCTGTTTGTGGCAAATGTTTTGCACAGAAAGCAGATGTCATCAAGCACCATATGATTCACACAGGAGAGAAACCTTTTGCCTGCTCTGTGTGTGGGAAACACTTTACTTGTAATACGACCCTCTTGAAACATGTGACAATGCACTATGCCATTGATCAAAATATCCACTCGCACGCTTGCAGTTAGTGCATGGAAAGTCAGACTTTAAAATAAATAAAGCTCATCTTAATGATCCAGAAAAGGCCTATTTCTCTCAAATATTGTTTTTAAATCTGTGTTAGTAAGCCCTTCTCCTTTGTCGAGATAATCCATCCACCTCACAGGTGTGGCATATCAAGATGCTGATTAGACAGCATGAGTATTGCAAAGGTGTGCCTTAGGCTGGCCACAATAAAAGGCCACTCTAAAATGTGCAGTTTTATCACACAGCACATTGCCGAAGATGTCGCAAGTTTTGAGGGAGCGTGCAATTGGCATGCTGACTGCAGGAATGTCCACCAGAGCTGTTACCCATACATTGAATGTTAATTTCTCTACCAAAGGCATTTCAGAGAATTTGACAGTACTTCCAACCGGCCTCTCAACTGCAGACTGTGTGTAACCACACCAACCCAGGAGCTCCACATCCAGCATCTTTACCTCCAAGATTGTCTAAAACAAGCCACCTGGACAGCTGCTGCAACAATCGGTTTGCATAACTAAAGAATTTCTGCACAAACTGACAAAAACTATCTCAGGGAAGCTCATCTGCATGCTTGGTGTCCTCATCGGGGTCTCAACCTAACTCCAGTTCGTCATCGTAACCGACTTGAGTGGGATTTAGACAGATTTGTGAACAATATTTGAGAGAAATATGCCTTTTTTGCAGTGTATATGTGAGTGGATTAACATACAACTGGAGATTGCTAATAACAAGACTTTAAGACTAAGAGCTTTTTGTGTGAGACAGCTGAAGATGGTACAAAGGGTTTAGGTAAAATTGCTGAAATGGTTTAGGTTTTCAACAATTAAATTGCTGGGTCCAGTTTAAAGTGGATCAGTCACTTCTTTGTAAATTACACCATTTAATAAAACACTGAAAATCACAGATGAATTGTCTTAATAGAGCATCACAATCCAGTTCAGTTCGGGTACAAGAAGGACAAACATTGCACTGAAGGGGGAAAAAAACAAGTATTTTTTTTCATCCCTCCTTTTCTCTCTATGTTCTTTCAGTGCTGACTATTCATTGCAACAGACAGTACATATGCCTGTAAAGAAGTTAACATGGCTACAACCAGTTGCTGGATAAAGAAGTGTGAATTCGTATAATTGTACTTTTTTACATTATTATTATTATAATATTTATATAGCGCCAACAAATTCCATCGCACTTTACAATAGGTTGACTGACAAACATGTAATTGTAACCAGACAAGTTTGACACACAGAAACAGAGTGGCTGACAGCCCTGTTCAATGAGCTTACATACTAGAGGGAGTGAGGTAAAGTTACACAAAAGGTTAGGGAAGTAGATTGGTAGAATAGTATTGAATAAAGACTTAGTGTGGATATTTTTGGAGCCATTAACCGTTTAATTGATATGTGTAGCGGAGCTATAATATTAAATCCCAAGATCTCCGCTGGTACAGAAAGTAATCCAAAGTATAGCGCTGAAAAGGAAGGCAATATCCCAAATCCCCAAGAAACTGGATGAAACACAGTTCTGGGAGTCAACTGAACTTTTATTCACAGGTCACAGTATTTATGCAAGTCCCCATGCAAGGGGTTTCCCTACTGACAATCCAGGGGTTGTACAGTAGGGGACTACATGGGGGACTTAACAACCTGGACATTTCTCCCATCATGCACTGCTACACGGGAGGGATACTCCCACTGAAATATCCAGTTAAGTGGATTATCCCTCCGTGCAGCAGAACTAACATTTTACACAAAAATACATAACTTGTACATTATTTCTCTTTATTACCGAACGACCGTTCGGTAGATAGATGGGGTCTGAGAGCACCTTTTGTGAAAGTATCGCTCAGATCCCAGCATAAATAACCGAACGCTGCACAAAATACACTTTTACATCATATTCGCCTGAAAGTACCGAACACCGATTGGGAAACACAATATTGAAAGACCGGAGCTCCCGAACGGCCTGGAGGCCCAGCGTTGTTCGCGCTGTCGAGTAGACGATTTTAGTTCCAGGTGCTCGACGACCAAACACCGCTGGGTGAACAGAGGATCCAAGATGGCCGACCGCCGCGTGGTCGGTAGCCGAACGACGGCCACCTAGGAACGTAATTAACATTGTTGCAATCGGCTAATGGGAGCCACACGACCCTCTGTGTGTGGGCTCCTGTTCGGTACTTTATTTGTTTCACGAACAGCAGGTAAAGTCCCTGTTCGTGAAACGAACATCTGAATGCTCTATGATACAACATTACAGGCATACATTTGAACACAACATTCCAGCGGCTTTTCCAGACAACCTTTAAAGGTACAGCAATACGATCTAAAGTGGCTAGGTTTGCCACAATATGCTTGTAATGGATCACCTGGCACCCCAACTGAGTACCTCCGCTAAATGATCACTTCCTAGCTGGAACAGGGGACAAGCCGCAGCACTTCTTGCCCTCAGTTGCCATAGCTTGACTGGAACCGCAACCTCCTTCCTGGATCCGAAGGGAAAATTAGCTCTGACACCTATAGGCATTGGACGACACTCAGTCCTGGGAACTCTGGAACCGAATGGGGAATTAGCTCTAGTCCTTACAAGGACTTTCCCCGTTAAATCTCCTGCAAGCTGGAACAGCAGACACAGGAGCAAATCTTCTTTCCCTCCAATAACTGGACAACACACAGTTTTGAGTGTAAGCAGGAATCTCAAGTTTAATGGGACACACTGGCCTTTTATACAATTTTACAAGCCAGAGGAACACCCCTTGGATCTGATGGGGCACAGGAACACAAAGGACATAAACCAATCAGAACAAACATACAGTCTGTGACTTGCCCATGTACATCACACAATCCCTCTCCTCTGCATAGGAGTTAATTGAGTAAAGTCCTGTAAGTAACTCTCCAAGCAGAGAGTTACTTACAACCCTGTAAGTAACTCTCCAGGCAGAAAAAATTTTTTTCCAAAAAGTTTAGAAAGTACCTCAAAATCCAACATATCCCATAAAAGTCACATCCCCTGATTACCCCGATCTGGGTGAACAACATATCCAAAAATCACCCAGATCGGTTCAGGGTTTCAGGAATTTCCTGGAAGTCATAGTTGTGACCGACCGCAAGCATGGCCCCATGCCCAAAACAGTTCCAGGGAAATCAGTGCCAACAGTCAGTCAAGTTTGGTAGTCTTTTACAGGTTTCGCTGCAGGGACCATAGTCTGTGGGCAGGAGGCTGGCAAGCAGGCTCCTTCAGGAGCTCGTGGCAAACTCACTTGAAAAGGGGAGTTTGTCACAATGCTTTTTTAAAAAAAAGTGAGTTTTTAAAGATTTTTTGAAGGAGTGGAGACTGGGTGAAAGTCTGATGGAAAAGTGAAGGGAGTTCCACAGGAACTATGCAGCCCTAGAGAAGTCTAGAGAAGAAATGAGCAGCAGAGGTGGGAGTACGAACAGAGGCTGGACGCAGGTCTTCGGCCGAACGTAGTGGCCTAGAGGGGACATACTTGTGTATTAGGAGGATAGATAGGTGGGAGTAGCATTATGTAGAGATTTGAAAGCAAGAACCAGAATTTTAAAGTGAGCCCTATATCGTACATGAAGCCAACACAGGGACTGACAGAAGGGTGAGGCGTGTAAGGCACGGGCGGACAGGAAGATGAGCCTTGCCGCCGCAGTCATTATAGACTGCAATGGGGCAAGTTGGGAGCATGTAAGACCACTGAGAAGTGGATTGCAGTAGTCAAGTGGCATGTACCAGCACCTTAGCCACAGCTGGCGTTAAGTAGGGGCGGATGCGATGGAAGCAGCAGGATTTGGCGATAGACTGGACATGAGGGGTGAAGGAGAGATTGGAGTAAAAGAGCTGATGGTAGCACCATTAACATGCAGGGAGACAGAAACAGGAGTAGCAACACTTGACGGAGGAAAGACCAGAAGTTCTGTTTTGGACAAGTTGAGCTTAAGGAAGTTGGCAGCTATCCAGTTAGAAATAGCAGAGAGGCAGTCAGAGACACTAGTCAAGAGGGGCTGGGAGGATTGGCGCAGGATTTATGTGATCGAGTTACATAAGAGAAATGGCTGCCATCACTGATGCAAGTTTCTTGAGCAGGATCATTGGGAAGACCATCAAACTTACAACTGCCACTGAATGCTTACAGGGAGAATTAGTTAGTGTTTCCTCAGATCGAACCATCGTTATCAACAAAATCAAAGACCTGAAAACCGGCAGGAAGATTCCTGGAGCACAGTTATTTTTTGGAAATAATATTTTGGATGTGGAACCACAGAATGAATCCTCAGGTGGATCAGAAAGACAAACAGCTGAGGTGGGAGATAACATTGCCTCAAAGGAGGATTGCTCCGGAACTGACATCAGTCAGAATGTTGAAAGCCGTAACACTCCACCCTCCTATGAAATTTACAGTGCTTTACAAGCCATAAAGCATTCAGTGGATGAAGAGGAGGTGGAGTATACAGTCATTGACCAATTCCAGCCCCATTTTGGGCCAGCTATACGGCACCTTCTGAATCAAAAGGTCCTGGGTATAAGTGCTGTTGGATTAAATCTATGTCGCCATGGAAAACTTTTATGGCTTCAGGTGGCATGCAAAAGATGAATATATCTGTTTGATTTTCTTGTTCTTGGACCAATCATCTTCAGAAATGGCCTCCAGACAGTGCTGGAAGATAAAGGCATCCTAAAGGTCATCCATGACTGCCGCTGGCTAGGAGATTTTTTGTCCCATCAGTATGGTGTTATCCTTGCCAATGTGTTCGATACCCAGGTAGCTGATGTGTACTTGTTCTCTGTTGAAACTGGGGGATTTCTTCCTCATTGTACGAGTTCATTGAAGGAGTGTTTGATACGACACCTTAAAATTCCTCTCTCTCACGGGTTGACTTCCTGACTCACAAAGAGACCCTGATAAAGCTGTCCAGCCCTGAATTGCCTAGAGAGCTCCAGCAGCTCAGCATACTGCAGCAAGTGAAGAGAGAAAGGGCTTTGAAAGATTATGACATTGACAACAAAGGGTTTCTTACAAGAACCTCCTCCTAAGGATTTCAACCCAGAGTTTAAGACTTTCTGTTGATTCTTCCTATAGGTGAGCAAGTTAATGTGTAAGTGAGTGCTCCATTCAGTAGTGAGGAAGGTGATATTTCACCATGGAGCATTGATTCTGCTTTTTTGTTTTCTCCAACTTTCTTTACAAGGACCTGTGCTGCATATTCTATAAATTGAGGTCATTTCTGCCTCCCAAGTTATGTTTTTCTTCTTCAATAAATGTGTTTCAGAAAGATTCTATGTTTATACATGCTGGTTACCAAAAGATTTTGTATTGTAATAACATTATATTTTTTTGTTCTCTTTCATTAAATAAAGCCTTGGAATGTTAAAAAAAAAAAAAAAAGAGGGTCTGGTAGAGGTCAGGGGAGGACAGATAGATTTGCGTGTCATCTGCATAGAAGTGATATTGGAAGCCAAAGGAGCTGATTAGTTTACCCAGGGAGGCAGTATAGATTGAGAACAGTAGGGGACCAAGGACTGAACCTTGGGAGATACCAACAGAGAGAGGTTGTGAGGAAGAGGCGGAACCAGAGAAAGGAATGCCTAAAATAGCACTGGGTGAGGTAGGAGGAGCACCAGGAGAGAGCAGTTTCACGTAGACTGAGAATACGGAGGATCAGAAGAAGCTGTTGATGATCAACTGTATCAAAAGCAGCAGAAAGGTCAAATTCAGAGGATATGTTAAAATAGAAAATAGTTTCCATTTAAGCTAGAATTGTGATTTAGAAAATAAGTTGAGTATGTGAAAAAGATTATCAAGAGCCTTCTTTTGGATCAACAGCAAAAAACAAATGTGAGGAAGGCTGAACTTGATGGCCACAAGTCGTTTTTCAGCTATGTAACTATGTAAGAGGTTGAATCTAATTAATAACATAAAGGAAATGGGGTGTGAGTGCAAAATGAAAAAAGAGTGGGGGAAATGGTGTGTGTTTGTGGTGGGAAATATAGAACCTAAAAGGCAGCTATTCTCAGTAGGGTAACCTTTAACCTACTATATAGAGTACTCAGAAGATATGTAATATAAATGGGGTTGCACCAAAAAAGTGTCTGCTCAGTTATCCATGCACCATGTTGTTGATGCCAAATTGTTGTTGTTGATGCCACGCACCATGTTGTTGATGCCAAACTTACATTTATAACAATCCACAAGGTGAAGAAAAATTGGAGAGGAGGTGATCACCTGAAAGAACTCTACATGCTAAATATAAAATCAAAATCAGAGATTATTAATAGCAAAACAGAGATGAAGTGGATATACCAATTAGGTACGCTAATACTCCACGGTTTGAATTCAGATTTAGAAAAATTTGATTTTTTTTATGAATTGCTGACATTTTATTTTTTCGCACCTCCAAAACTGATGTTTTATTATAAGCTCTCCTCCGAGAGAGTATCATAATCCAAGTAGCAGCATAGCAGTCCCCATGTGAGCCAAGGCCTAATGGTGGGAAGTAGTCTGTTTAATGGAAGCACAGTCACAGAATTTATACAAGTTACAAACTCCTCCTCTGTGCCTGAAAGATAATTGAGTCAGGAACTTGTACTAACTCAATTATCTCCAGGTACAGAAAAACACACATTTTTTAGACACCTCAAAACACATGAAAACCCCACAAAAATTATATTCCCTGATATCCCCAATATATCCAAAGATCATCCAGATCGGTTCAGGGGTTTGGGATTTCTGTGGAAGTCATAATTTGACCGACCGTGCACATTGTCCTTTGCCCAAAACAGTTCCATGAAATCTGTGTTAATGGCCGGTCAAGTTTGGTAGTTTAAAAACGAACAAACTTCCAAACGTACTCAATAGTCATACCGTGAAGCTTGTTCCCTTCATCCAGACCAACGATTCCACTGAACAGTGCCCTTCTAGGTGGTGTAGAATCCGAACGCAGGCAATGATGGAGGTCCTGTGGTGTTCTGAGTTTCTGTGTCCGATTTTAGTTCCATGAACTCGGCGACCAAACGATGCTGCCTGCATTCGCCGGAACAAGATGGCCGCCACCTCGTAGTCGAACTGCGGCCACCCAGACTAACAATTAGAACACTGCGGTTAGAATCGCTAAGATGTGATTATAGGGCTTAACAAGCTCCTGGTTGGTCCATGGTTCGTGTACCTGTTCGGTTCCCGAACAGCATAGGAAAATGGCACAAACTAAGTCTTTTAACATGCTTTTTGCAGGGTCCACAGTCTTTAAACAGGAGGCTAGCCAGCAGGCCCCTCCAGAAACACGTGGCAAAGGCATTTCTGCCACACTTCCCCCCCCCCCCAAAGGAAGACTAATCAGTTACCTGACCTGCTGCCGGTCGGTACCCAAGTTAGTCAAGCAGCCCACCCAAAAGCAATTAGCTGACCTGGTAGCCTCTTGTGCCATGCTCTGCCCTGTCTGTCCCAGGTTGCTATGTGTTGAGAAGAGGAATTGACCACCTCCTCCCCGTGGTATTCCCACTGGGGCTGTTGGGGATCTGGGACGGCTGCCCAGCATCCCTGTTGGTCTGGTGCAGAGACCTCGGTCCCATCTGCTCCATCTGTCTCAGGAGTCCTGTCTTTGGCTAACAGGCACTGCCGCTAGGGAGTGTGACTGGTTGTCTCCACTCCCATACGCTCCCACAGTAGTTCAGGAAAGGGACCAGATGTCTCCTCTCCCGGTATCTCTGGCTGCCGCTTGGGAGTAGGACCGACTGTCCTTTCTTCCGGTACTTCCAGCTGTGGTTGGGAAGAGGGACAGGTTGTCCTCCCTTCCAGTGAGGTTAGCTGCTGTTGGGTGTCAGGATTACTATATGATCCAGCACGTACAATTGTGTTATACAGATGACTAATAGGTAACGTTTTACCGGGCCTTAGAATGGCCAGACTAAAGTACAAAGAATAGTCAGGGTGCTAGCCGAGGTCAAGGGACAAAGAATAGGGACACGATAAAGGAAAGCCAGATGTCAGGGATACCAGAAATACAGGGAAGTCAAAATAAAAGTAAAAAACCAGAAGAAACTTGAATCAGGAACGCGCTCTCGGACAACCACTAGGGAAACCATGAAAGGGCAATGAGGAAAGGTAATTCTAGGTTTTTATACCTGCTTTACCCTTCTAATTGGTCAGGTTCGCTCTTTGACCCCAAAACGTGCGTGCGAGACATCACGTGCATGCCAATGTCATTATTTACGTGAGCGGACGTGGGGGTATAATTAGCTGTGGATCCGCAGCGGCCAGCGTCCATTAACATGTCGCAATTGGTAGTCATGCAGACGCATGGCCGCTAACCGCAAGGTGAGGAAGAATATGTTGCATTATCCCCTCACCTGAAGACCGCCCACCGTGCGGGCAGGCCCAGGCTTAAGAGGGAATTTAGCAATTTGTCAATTGAGTGCTATTAACGAAACAACGCAAATACAATTCCAAAGACTGGTTAGCCCTCTCAGCCGTACCATTAGTCTGGGGGTGGTAAGAGGATGAAAAAGATAATTCAATCCCCAATTGCTTATTGAAATCCCTCCTGAACTGGGATACAAACTGAGAACCTCTATCAGACACAATATTGTGAGGAATGCCATGCAAACGGACAATCTCACGTATAAAGATCAGCACCAGGTCTTGTGACGATAGCAATTTTTTGAGTGGAATGAAATGAGCCATTTTAGAAAAACAGTCAACAACCATGAGAATAGTGGTAAAACCATTAGAACTAGGAAGTTCAACAATGAAATCCATGGACAAGTGGGGCCATGGAACCTCAGGAACGGGAAGAGGTTGCAACAAGCCACAAGAGAGTTTATGATGTACTTTAGAAACCGCACAAACAGAACAGGCCTGCACATACTCCTTAACATCCTTTCTGAGGGAATCCCACCAAAATGATCTCATGATTGCGGATGTGGATTTAGTAATTCCCGGGTGTCTAGCAGTCACATTGTTATGGAACACTTTCATGACATTTACCCTTTCACCCAACGGAACGAACAGTCTGTCTCGTGGTTTACTGCAGGGCGCCTGAGACTGAGCCTCCATGATGGTGCCAAGCAGTGGAAAAGACAATAAAAAAAAGCTAAATAAAGTGTTATTTAGTTTAGATTTTTAAACAAAAAAGCGATCAAACATCACAACGTGCCAACAAACTATTCAAATAAAAAAAAATGTAGATTGCAGGTTTGGGAGATGTGCAATATATGTGTGCATGTAAGTAGTAGCTTTGCAGGTAGTAAGTGAATGAATGAATTAAATTACTAACTGTATTTTCTTTCTCTGCTCCTACTGCTGCAAGAATCTTTATTAAAGTGACAAGCAATGTAAACACAATGACTTTTCATTGATTTTCTGCTTATGGATCTAGGAACTTGCCCTTCTGCTTTTTATCTGTTTTTAGTTTCTGAAAAAGCATCCCAATTAGCTAGAGAGCACAGCAATCAGTGGGTGTGTGAAAGTCCTGGGGCATGGAAGCATTTGGATACGTTTAATTGACTCACACATTCATAATGGTGCAGTCAAGTACATTATCTATCACAAATTCTGTCAAAAAATGGGAAGAATGTATTGCAGGTGGATTCCTAACTCATCTGAAAATGTAGATCAGCTCTGATTCACAGTGTAACTGAACTAGAATTCACCTTAACTTATTAAATTCATTAAAATATTCTCTTTTATTTCCAAGATATTAGAAACAATTATCATCCAAAAAATAATGAAAAAGAATAAATGGAAAGATCTCACAAATAGTCTGAGCTCTCTGGAACAGTTTCTTGAAGAAATGTGTGCAATGGCTTATGGAGTGAGGTCATCTGTTTCAAAGCGATCGACTTGGATTCAATGTTCAGCATTATTAGCTTTTATAAAGCGTCAACATATTCTGCTTTATAATTATGGAAAGGAGGTATTTGGAGGTGAAGAAGGCAATCTATGCGGATTTGAGGTAGGCAGATATATATCGTTAGGTGTCTTGCCCAAGGACACTTACTGGTTAGAAGATCTGACCAAGATTTTTTTTCTTAGGTATGAGTATCTCCATCTTTCCGTATTAGATTTTACCTTCATACCATGTTCATCATTTGTTAATATCAATCTATATTATTTTCTACCTTTACTTCACTTTATTATTTCAATGTTCTATTTCTGCCTCAAACATAACTTATCACTCACTCATACACACCCAGACACACACACAAAAAAAATAGCTCCCTAACTATATTTCATTACTTATTCTATATCCTATTTCTTGCTCCATATGGTGAGGAATAAGAGCTACATTTACTTTTTTTCTCTTTGTCATTTCCATTTTCTATGCCATCTTACTTTCGCCTTTCTCTATCCCTTTATCCCCCTTTCTCTTTCCTTTCTTATTTTTCCACTTGCTCTTCATTGCCTTCTTAAATGTGTTAATACTTATTTAGCCAAGGACTCCATAAGATGTTATATTTATCCAATGTGTGATAATTCAGATAAAATCCCCTTTCCAAATCTCCTTGAGACTTTACCTCATTTCTAACCATATTCCAACCAACATATTTTGTCTTTTGATTTCCAGTTTCGCGCTATATAAATTTTCATAGCTAAAAAGATTTGTATAACCATATATCTATCCTATGATTTCAATTCTCCCAAATCCATATGTACCAATGCCCTCTTTGCAGTTGGAGCTAACTTTATTTTCAATATCTCTGAGATCCGAATGTGGAAGCAGGTAACGAACACTCCAATCAGCCGAACATGAACCATACGAATACTCCACACACCAAACAGTCGAACAGGAATGTAACAGACCGTTTCAGCACACAAGGGGTTAAAACCGTTTAGGCGATCGTCCCCTTTCACATACACAGGCACAGCTACTGCAGAACACCAATCCGCCGAACAGGAAACCATGCGAATGCTGTAAACAGCTGAATAGGAAAAACCATACGAATAGGTTTACACTCCTAGCAGTCAAACTGGAACAGCATACATTAAATCCCCCAAAGAACAAGACAAAGCTCCGTGTTGAGGGTCAAGCAATGAACAGTCAGAGCTGTGGGTTTATTGTGCTTATGTACACATTCTTGCACATTAGTACCACCCACAGGGTTTTGGAACACAACCAATAAACACATACAATACACTCAGACACTGCCACACAAAATCCTCCCCTCTGCCTGTAATACAATTACCTTACACAATGGGTAATGTAATTATAACAAGCAGAGAAATACAATTTTTCAACATTATTCATAACTTGAAAAGTATGCATCACATTCACATATAACTTACATTTTCAGAATCAGCATACTCCAAATACAAACATATGTCAAAAGCATCCAAATTGGTCCAGTGGTTCAAAGATAGATCGTAGTCCTTTGTGACCAAAGGAAGCATGGCTTTTCTGCCCAAAACCAGTTCCACAGAGTCTTCTATCCTGGAGATAATTGTGAAGTAATCCAATTATCTCCAAGGACAGAGGCAAAACTCCATTGAACACATGGCAGCAAAAGAAAATAAAAAACATAAAAGCATAACTGTGCAGCCATTGCACAAAACAGGTACATTCAACATATCCCCAGATAGCTCAGATCTGAGCGCACATTATTACTGAATGGCGCTCAGAGCACACACATACAGTTCAATTGCCATGGAGCCAAAGTCTTTCCCATAGTCTTTCATTATATGAATGGGCTCCATGGCATAGCTATCTGGGGTATCACTGCTCAAACAGGGCAAGCACCAAATAACCCGGCTTTCTTGTCTTTGCAGGGGAAAATCAAGCCTTTTAACATGGGGCCATAATCCAAAGGCAACAGGCGAGCAACCAGGCTTCTCCAATGCAATGTGGAGAGATTGGTCTCGTCACATCTCTCCCCTTTTCCAAACAGACTAACAGGGTATCTGACCTCCTGCCGGTCAGTGCCCTTGTTAGCCCAGCAGCCCACCCACAAAACACAAACAGTACTACAGCCCACCCACAATAAATGGTTACTACACCTGGGTAGAGGAGAACTTTGTCCATGTCCAGGTGCCTCACCATGGCTGTGTGGGTGACTTTTAAGCTGCCTTGGTGGGTTGCTGAGTGGGCAGAGACCAGTGGTACTCTGCCCTGGTGCCAGCGCTACAACGGGAGTAGCCTGGTTGGAGCCTGGTTGTTGGAGAGGGAGACCGACTGTCTCCCCTTTAGGTACACAGCTCTGCTGCTGAAGGGGGAGACCGACTGGCTAAACATCCCTGTCCCTACCCCCTGTGCTGTAAGTACAGAGACCACGGTCCCATCTGCACGGTTGTGGGGCTTGCTCTCTCCCCCTGGTACGTTAAACTGCCACTGGTGAGAGGGGGTAACAAGCTCCTCTCCCATATATACTTCCAGACGCGGGGAAGAGAGACCGACTGTCTCTGCTCCCAATACAGAGTCCTGCTGCTGGGGAAAGGAGACTGGGCTCTCTATTCCCTGTAGGACATTCTGCCGCTGGGGAATGGAGACTGGGCTCCCAATTCCCTGCTGTATCTCCCGCTGGGGCATGGAGACTGGGCTCCCAATTCCCTGCACATCACACTGCCGCTGGGGAATGGAGACTGGGCTCCCAATTCCCAACAACTCAGCCTGCCGCTGGGGAATGGAGACTGGGCTCCCAATTCCCTGCAATTCACACTGCCGCTGGGGATCTGAGCCGACTGCCCAGCATCCCTGTAGCTCACCCTGCCACTGGGGAGGATGCTGCTCTCCTCTCCCTGCAAGGTACACTGCTGCTGGGGGACAGGACCAACTGTCTCTGTCCCCTGTAACTCAGCCTGTCGCTGGGGAGTGGAGACTAGGCTCCCAGTTCCCTGCAATTCACACTGCCGCTGTGGATCTGGGCTGACCGCCCAGCATCCCTGTAGGGTCGGTGGAGAGACCTCGGTCCCATCTCCACCTGCCGCCTGGGGTTCCTCCCAGTAAATCTCAACAATATCTTCCCAGCTGAATGGATCTGGAACTGGATCTGTCAATCTGCTATCCTGCGGAGCCTTCCCAATGGAGTGGAAGAGATCTCGGTAGTCCTGCTCCAGTTCCCATTCCAGGGTTGCTAAGTGAGCCAGGTCTTGCTCTACCTCATGGGGGTCATCCCAGTCATGCCTAGCCTCACTCTCGTAGAAAATGTCCTGAAGTCTGTTCTGCGCAGGGCTCCCGAAGTCAGGCTCTGCAAAGGACTCCCACAACAAGCCCGGACCATCAAACTCCTCTCCCTCTGGCTTGTCATGCTCGGCTGTCCAGGGTATATACTGTGCCATATACCACCAGAGCGCCTGGTAGGCATCCTCCAGCCATAGTTCCTGCCATACCCGGTGCTCTAGTTCCTTCACCCATTCCTCCAGGGGCTGCTCTCCCAGGAAGGGCATCCGCAGGGCCACTTGCTTCTGCAACCGCTGCTCTTCACTGGGGAGACTCTCACCCCGCTGGTATTGTACATTATCCAGGGCTTGGTACCAGATGCCTTTCCTTAATGCATCCCGGCCATCTAGGTCCTCCTCCTCGTATAACACTGCTGGTTCCATTCTGTTGCTTTTAGGGTCGTTGTACTGGGACATGCATTGCCCCCCCTTGTAAATCCAAAGAAATGTTGTCTCCTGTAGCTGTCCTTCTGGCTGTAGGAACGATCCCGCCACTTGCCACCAATTGTAACGGCACCCCCAGGCATAAAAGGGGTGAACCGCCGTTTAGTAGATCTTCCCTTCCAGAGACACAGGCACAGCTACTGCAGAACACCAATCCGCCGAACAGGAAACCATATGAATGCTGTAAACAGCCGAATAGGAAAAACCATACGAATAGGTTTACACTCCTAGCAGTCAAACTGGAACAGCATACAATAAATCCCCCCAAGAACGAGACAAAGCTCCGTGTTGAGGATCAAACAATGAACAGTCAGAGCTGTGGGTTTATAGTGCTTATGTACACATTCTTACACATTAGTACCACCCACAGGGTTTTGGAACACAACCAATAAACACATACAATACACTCAGACACTCCCACACAAAATCCTCCCCTCTGCCTGTAATACAATTACCTTACACAATGGGTAATGTAATTATAACAAGCAGAGAAATACAATTTTTCCACATTATTCATAACTTGAAAAGTATGCATCACATTCACATAAAACTTACATTTCAGAATCAGCATACTCCAAATACAAACATATGTCAAAAGCATCCAAATTGGTCCAGTGGTTCAAAAGATAGATCGTAGTCCTTTGTGACCAAAGGAAGCATGGCTTTTCTGCCCAAAACCAGTTCCACAGAGTCTTCTATCCTGGAGATAATTGTGAAGTAATCCAATTATCTCCAAGGACAGAGGCAAAACTCCATTGAACACATAGCAGCAAAAGATAATAAAACACATAAAATCATGTAACTGTGCAGCCATTGCACAAAACAGGTACATTCAACATATCCCCAGATAGCTCAGATCTGAGTGCACATTATTACTGAATGGCGCTCAGAGAACACACATACAGTTCAATTGCCATGGAGCCAAAGTCTTTCCCATAGTCTTTCATTATACGAATGGGCTCCATGGCATAGCTATCTGGGGTATCACCACTCAAACAGGGCAAGCACCAAATGACCCGGCTTCCATGTCTTTGCAGGGGAAAATCAAGCCTTTTGACATGGGGCCATAATCCAAAGGCAACAGGCGAGCAACCAGGCTTCTCCAATGCAATGTGGAGAGGTTGGTTTCGTCACAAGGAACAACCATACGAATAAATAAGGATTTAACCCTGCGTATACCTGAGGGTGCCGTCACAGTAGGTACTAAATACCATCTATAATTTAGCTTTAGATGTGTTTCTTGGAATGTTAAACAATGCATGGCTTTCCTAATGGACATGAGACTGTTTACCCATTCTTTGCTATCAAAGGTCACTTGCAGTTCACTTTGCCATGCTAATAACGCTCTTGATATTGCCCCTTGTTTTAGGGTAAACATTATTCTATGGATCATCTTAATTATACCTGGTTGAGATTTATTATTAAAAAATTCTGTTTACATCCTCATGTACTCCATTTTCATCCTCTCTGTATAAGTGCACTCTGCTGCATAATGTGCTAATAGCCTTGAGTTTGTCCCCTATTAATAAATCTCTGATTTTGATTTTATATTTAGCATGTGGAGTTTTTACCATTATATTTTTAATATTGGTTTCTAGACTTACAAGAGAGGTATTTCGAATCACTTTATCTTTTATTTAAAGTTTTTTCTTAATCCTCATCCAACCGTTAATAATATTGTCCAGAATAATTGAAGTATTATATCTAAATATTTTTTCAACCTCATTATGGTGAGCCCATAGGATATTTTCTAAATTCTTGATTTTTAGTAATTCAGATTCTATCAAGTACCAATCTTCTTGTTTACAATTATCTATTTGAAATTTATGAGCTTGCATAACCATCACCACATTTGCAAAGTTTTCCATTTTAGGTAAACTAAACCCTCCTTGATGAACTATAGTGTATAATATGTTTCTACAAATTCTAGTTTTTTTCCCAACCATATAAACTTTTCTGTAATTTTTTAAAGTAATCACAATATTTTATGGGGATTTTAATGGGAATCATACGTAAGTGATATAACCACTTGGGGAATGCATATGCTTTTATTATATTCATCCTGTCCATCCATGAAACAAAAAGATGTTTCCATTCTGCCAAATTCTTTTCATATTCCTTAATTAAAGCAAGATAATTAATTCTTCAAATGTTTTCAACATTGTCTGTTTAAATTAACCCCCAAGTATGTAATCCCTGATTTATTCACCACCAGCCCATATTGGCTTTGAATTTTGTGTATAGTTTCTTCTTCCATTGCTATTAACATAATTTCAAATTTGTTTTTATTTACTTTATAATTATACAGGGAACTACATATCTATATCTTCTAACAAATAAGATAATGATGTTTCTGGGGAACTGAGAGTCACCAACACATCGTCTGCATACATGGTTAGTTTGCACTCTATTGTGCCTATATTTATAGCCTTAATATTTTTATTGTTACGTATAGTGTTAGCAAGTGGTTCCAGAGAAAAAATGTAAAGCATTGAAGCTAGCGGACATCCTTGTCTCGTAACATTCTTAATATTCAGCTAATTTGAACAGAATCCTTGACCTATCACTAGAGCAGATGGAGATGCATACAAGGCTATGACAGAGTCAATTAAACTGTCCCCCAGATTAAATCCTCTCATGGTTTCTTCAAGGAACAGCCAATTGACCCTGTCAAAACACCTTTTCTGCGTCAATAGACAGCATTAACATCAGTTGTTGTTTTTGTTTTGTGTATTCAATTAAGTGTAATATCTTCCTTATATTGCTGTTTGAATGGCGAGATTTCACAAATCCTGTTTGATCCATTCCAATTACCAAGGGCAAAATTTTATTAATTCTCTCAGCCAATATAGCCGAGTATATCTTGGTGTCTGAATTTATTAATGATATTGGCCTATAGTTTGCTACCCCTGTGGGATCCTTATCTTGCTTCGGAATGGGCAGGATAGATGCTTGAAGCATCTCTTCTGGAAATCTTTTATTCATTTGTTTTATTTCGTTAAAAAGGTTTTGTAGCGGATCGGCAATATTAAATCCCACGAACTCCGCTGGTATAGAAGGTAATCTACAGTCAAGCGCTGAAAAGTAAGGCAATATCCCAAATCCCCCGGTAACCAGACAAAACACAGTTCTGGGAGTCAACTGAGGTCTTTATTCACAGCATCCAGTATTTATGCAAGTCCCCATGCAAGGGGATTCCATACTGCCATAGCAGGGGTAACACAGTAGGGGACTACATGGGGACTTCACATTCTGGGCATTTCTCCCATCAGGCCCTGCTGCACGAGAGGGACACTCCCACTGGAATGTACCGTTAAGTGGATTATCCCTCTGTGCAGCAGAACCAGCAATTCACATTAAAATACATAACTTGCATTGTATTCGGTGAATTTATACAATTGGACGTTCGGCAGATAGCTGGGGTCTGAGCGCACAGTTCGTGAGAATACCGCTCAGATCTCAGCTAAAACAGCCGAACGCCGCACGAAAAACATATTAATTGTAACACACGCTTAAAAGACCGATTGATATACGAGAAATAAAATACCGAAAAGCCCGGAGCTCCCGAATGGCCTGGAAGCCCAGCGGTGTTCACGCCGTCGAGTAGCCGTTTTCAGTACCACGCGCTCGACGACCGAACACAGCTGGAGAGACAAAGGATCCAAGATGGCCGACCGCCGCGTGGTCGGTAGTCGAACGACGGCCACCTCAGAGAGTCTCTAATTGCCGATTGCAACATTGTTGCAATCGGTTAACAAGCACCACACGTCTCTTAGTGTGTGGGCTATTACTAGAGTGTTCATTCGGTTCACGAACAGCCCGCAAAGGCGCTGTTCGTGAAACGGAATAGAATACGGCTATCTGCTTTCGGCAGATAGCTAACACAGTCAATACAGCATACAGGATCCAGCAGATTACAACCAGGCACATATACAATCATAATAAATATACAGGCAACCCTTAAAACCATATTGTCTCTGTTTAGTCCAAGTGGCTAGGTTTGCCACAGGTTTGTCATATGAGGGGACAAAATTTCAGATAGTTTCTTATATAGTATGTTAGACATTCCATCCGGTCCTTAGGGATTTTTTTTTTTTTTTTTTAATTTTATAGCCTTTTTGACTTCTATTATTTGAAAGGGTGCATCTAAGCTTTCTCTTTGTTCCTGCGTTATTGTCGGTAACTTAGTTGTAGTTAACTACTCTTTAATTCTCTGTTTATTTTGTTCTTTGTTGGGGAATATTATATAAACCATTGTAATAATAAATGCAGCTCCAATTTTATATGGGGAATTATGGACTTCATTATTATCCACTATTTTAAAAATTCTAGATTTTAGTTGAAGTGCCCGCCATTAGACAATCGAACACGTGGCAGCGGCCATTTTAATCCAGTCGAACGCGGTCAGCAGTGTGTGCCGTCAAATCCCTGGAACGGAAATCGGCCACACATTGGAACGAACACCGCTGACCTGTACCTTCCACTACCCTTCGGCACTGCGGCTGGAGACTAAGTCCCGTTCGAAGATTTGAACAGCAGTTCAAATTGGACTTAGTCACTCTGTTGTAAAATAGACCGCTATTAGACCATCGAACACCACTGAAACACAACCCCGGTTTCACTTCGACACTTCGACAGAAGTCGAAGTGCGTTCGACGATTCGAACGCCGCCTTCGGATGGGACATTGTCATTTTTCAGGGCAGAAACAGACCGACCGCACAGCCTGAATCTGTTGAACTGTTATGGGCATGCAAACAGGCGTGCAGTTGGTCCAAAGAGACTTTTTAATATTTCTGGAACCCCTGAACGGATTGGTACGAATTCTGAGTATGTCGTTCCCCAAGTTGTGTTGTTTATAAAAATATGTTTTATTGCTGTGTGACGAAAAATCAGAAAGTTATATAAAATGCATAAAAAGTATAAGTTTTAGCTTGGAGATAATTGAGTAGATACAGTAAGAAACTAAATTATCTCCCAAGCAGAGGGGAGGGAATCTGTGGGATGTAACCATTGTCTGATTGGGTAATGTCTAATTGGCTGTGGGCGTCTCCCTTGCAGGGGAGCACTGCATAAAAGCAGAGTACCTGTCATTAAACATCAGTTCTACTTTAGCCTTCAAAACTTAGCTTTGTCTCGTTATTGAAAGGGAACCTGCTCAGCTAATCACTAGCTCTTTTAAAAGCTCTACCCCTCTCTCTCTCTCTACTTGGATCCAGCTGATAGAAAGAAGGCTACTCCATTACTGCACAGCATCTTGCTGGGAAAAAGGAC